TTTTTTTTTTTTGAGGTGCAATTAGAGTTACATTCACTTAGCATGTTTTTTTCCTGCTGGGACTTTTACCAGAGATTCTAGTACTGCAGATTTCTTTTTCTACCCAATTCTCTATTTTCATGAAAACTCTTAGGTAGAATATCTCAAAAGGATTGCAATATATATTTTCTTGAGGATTTAAATAAAACCCACTTAACTGAATACCAAGTGGTCATAATCCCTGTAATAGCACTACTTCTCAAATTGTGAGAGAGTCTCATGTACAAGACACTTGACACAAAGACCCGAAATAATTGTTTTTCTGTGCAGTTGCAGCCTATAGCTGGTGTCTGCGCAGTCTGTAGCAGACGTGGGAACTGAACTCAGCCACTATGACACACGGCTGGTACTGAAAATCCTAAAGTATTTTTATGAAACCAACAAAAAAAAACCCTAAAATATTTTTATGTGGGCACCAACATTTCATTTTTGACTGTTAGGACTATCTTTTGTGTAAATACTCTTTCTGGAAGCGCAGAGATGCTGTAATTTGTTACATTGTTTTCTTAAGTGACTAGTCAATCCAAATGAATATTCAAACGTATGTTTATATTTAAAAAGAACAAGCTTAAGAGGCATTTTAAATTGGTACCTGCTGAAGACAGACAAAATGTGTGTGCTTTATTGTTTTATAGCACCCCTTGCTCATCATTTGCTTTAAGTTATTTCCTACAAACTCTGCCTGCCTTCGTGACAGACTTTTCCAGAAAACAAAAATTTCCCCCTTCAGGTGAAGAAATAGCTGGGAACTTTCTAAACCTCTGCAGAAGGTGCAGTTATATCAGCAGTGTAGTTAAGCATTTACTTCGTATCACTATGTGGACTGCTGCTTACTTAGGGAAATATTAATGGATAAAACTTCTTTTAGAATTGAATTTTGAATTTCAGGTAGTAAAAGATAGCTTGAAGAGTGTCTGTCTTCTAGGCATGCAGCTGTCTTGGTTGAAACCATCAAGAAGGGTATTCATGATGCTGATGCAGAGGCAAGAGTGGAGGCAAGAAAGTAAGTTTCATCTGCATTTATTGCTCTGAGAAATGGCAGACGTCTTATGAGGTGTAGAAGGGTTTCAGTAGTGTAATATATATCACATAGCTGCTCGCCTCTGAAGAGGCAAATCAAGTGAATGAATTTTGAATTAAAAGCTGCTTTGCACCAAAAAAAAGAAAGCCGCTTTAAAGATTGGGGCAATTAGTAATGTTTCAGTGAGTCCGAGGGTTCTTGGAGAATAGGAGAGATGAGAATTAATATTATTACATAATCATTCCGCCTTTATAGAAATTGAGTCATTGAAAGACTACAGTACTTTCAATAAAGAGAAGGCAAAAGAAATGTATCCTCTTCAGTTACAAGTACTAACACGTAGTAAGTAAACTTGAGAATTTCAGAGTACAGAAATGCTTTTTATTTTGAAGAAGTCCATACTGTCAGTGAAACTAGGGTAACTTATGACCTGATGAATGTATTATGTGGTATACCTATTTCTGTTCTGGGTTCCTTTCTCTACCATCCCTGGCTTATTCTGTAGTCTTTCACCTTTTGACTGTATATTTTACACAAAAATCTAAAACAATTACTCTTGGTTATTTTTTTATTTTGCAGGGCTTATCTGGGTCTCAGAAATCACTTTCCCGGTGAAGCAGAGACTCTGTACAACTCTCTTGAGCCACCCTATCAAAGAAGCCTCCAGACCTACCTGAAGAATTCCGGCAGCATCGCATCCCTCCCTCAGTCAGACCGGTCATCCTCCAGTTCCCAGGAGAGCCTCAAGTAAGAGCCACTTCCCTGTTTGGTCAGGCAGTACCGAGGGCTTCGCACACGCATGAGGCTCCTGCGGCAGAAAAGCTGCAGTTGGGCTGCTGCCACATTTAATAGTCACATTCTTAAAATTCCTCTCATGTTCTGCTGTGTGATAGTGTTACTCCAGCAAGGTGGAAAACAGTAGCGTGTACGACCTTGACTTGAGCAGATTCTGCTTACGCATCTGTTTGTTCCTGACCAGCCTGCATTGCACCACARGCGCCCTGAGGTTTCTCTGCTCAAGTGGTGTCGCTTGTCCAGCAGCGTGGTAAAAGAGTAAATGTAGGAAGAAATTATGGTTGCACTTCCTTGCTTCTTCTCATCACTTGGGATGATTGCAAAAATCACTTGCAAAAATAAGCAATGTTGTTTATTTTGTGACTGCTCATTAGGAGGCAGTCGGTSTGTTCTGTAGGCAGGAGTGTATTAACCATCAGGAACTTGTTAGATTAAAGTTTGCTTTAGGTCCTGGTAGCAAAAGAAATTGACTGCCTGTTAGCAGAACTGTAAAGCTGGGAATAAACATTCATAACAATTTGTAGTCCTGTAAATTCTAGAAAGGGTCCTCAAAGCATGAAATTCTGACTTCAGTCCAGATGCTTCATTTCCAAAGCAAAAGAACTTGATATTTGTTCACGTGGCTTGAAAGCTAAGACTGCTTCCAGCAAGTCCAAAGATTTTTTTTTTTTTTTTTTTTGGCTGGCACCTTAAATACCAGTGGCTCTCCTTCTTCTGTGGCAAATCTTATCTTCAGTATGATTTGTATAATTATGTAATTATAAAAGCCTTTTTAAATAGTTATTGCAATGTAGGTTATTGCTAGTGATGGATTTTCATCAAAATAAATGTTTAGTCAGTGATGAATTAGTCTTGCTTAAATTAATTAAATCTGTATTTCCTGCTTGGAAATCAGAAGGCTGTTAGTGAGTTACTAATAACAAAATGTTAAACTAAATTACAGAGAAACTAGAATCTTGCTGTGTTAAATCCCTAGGTAGGTGCTGCTTCGTGTGTTACAAGGTGTGTAACTTCCCAGGTGTTGGAAGATGAACAGTACAGAATGGGAGGGGGAAAAGAAGAGCTAAGCAAAGGAAATCTGATACTCAAAGTGATTTTTAGCTGGTTTTCAATAATTTTGCTTTTAGATGTGTTCTCTTTTTCTTTTATCTGTTACCAGAACAGTGTATGTAGTGGGTTTTTGTTTGTTTGGTGTTCTTTTCTTTTCCCTTTTCTTTTTTTTTCCCCTCTTGACTTCTGCAATTGGTGCTGGATTCTCCSTATATATATTAGGGTAGGAAGTAAGGGTGTTCTTTTTTTGTTGTTCATTTTAGAATCTGATGTGCAGTGTTTTTTGACACTCTGAGTCTGCCAAGCTTACAGATCCATTGACCAAAATGATTTTAGTGCACTGTGATTTTTATTACAAGGCTGAGAAAAGTTATTGCCATCAGACTCTTCGGTTTGCAGTGTTGCTACCTCAGCCCAGTCCCTCTCTCATGGTCTGTAATCAAGACCTGTGTGGGTTAAAAAATCTTTTTCATCTTTCAAGTAAAAAGCAAAGGAATTATTGAAGTTTGCTTCTTTCCGATCAATATTCCTGTCATTATGGAAGCTCTGTGAAGAGCTCCTTAAATTGAGCAAGAAACTGTTTTTATTTAGTGAGAACCCTGCAGAATCTGAGGCAGGCTATTTAGAGAGCACCCTTGTCTGATTTACTTCAGTTGGCAACTTCCATGTGATAACGTTGGCATTTTAAGTGGAGGGAAATGCTGCTTCCAAGCAAGCTCTACCTGCACAAAGCTGCTTAAATTCCTTGTCCTTCTGGGTAGGTTGTGCAAAGTGCTGCAATTGCAGCAGTGCTTTCTGAGCCTTCTCTTTGGGGCTGGTTGTAAGGTCAGAATGTGGCCCGGAGATCTATCTGCCTGGCCAAACTGAACTGAGCTCATTGTATTTGCAGCAAAATAAGTGCCAATAGCTCCAAAACACTGGCTGGTTATTACGTCAGAAAAACAAGTGTGGTTCATAGTAAACTGCTTTTTTTGTGAGGAGTTAGATAACAGTGCTGACATCTGCATTAGCACTGAGCTAACAGCACAGATGCATGTGCAGTATTRTGTTTCTCTCTCCTCTCTGCTTTTTGATATTAAAATTAGGGAGTATTTTTACTAAAGCTGGGACTCTAGACTGCAAGGTTATAATTTGGGTGTCACTTGAATTACTACAAACCTTCCCAGTCACATAAATATTTAGGTGGCTAGGTGTCAACGAATGAAGCATTGTGCCATTCAGTGCTTCCTGTCCTTTTTTTTTTTTTTTTTTTTTTGTATATTTTGACTTTCCTCTGCTCCCTCTCATTCAAAAGGCAAGCAAACCTTTAGAACCAAGGAGAAGGCCCAGGGTACCAGTTCAGCTGGAGTAGACCACAAGGTGCTGCTGCAGCAGCTTTGACAGTAAGAGTACAGGGAAATGGAGAGAAAGGAAAGGTTAAAAAAAAAAAAAGTTTTCCCTTCTCTTATAACAGTCTCCAGCAGTCAAGCACAGGAAACTCAATCCAGCTACTTTGAAGTTCCAGCATATTTCTTAATTTCTAAATGAATTGTTTGGAGAGATGGGACTTGCAGGAGGCTTATGAGTCATACACCTGCTTTCCTTGTTATTGTCAGCAAGCTGCTTCGCATAATTCCTCTCGTTGTATATCAGGATCTTTTAGTTTAGCTCCTGCTATTTTTGTTTGCCAGCTGATTTAGAAGATCATCCCTGCAGTTAAAACCTTTTAATGGCCAGCTTAAATGTTTCTGTGGCCATATCTGGAAGGCCTGAACTTTGTGTTAGCACAATATGTTCATTAATTAGCAAAAGATTTAATTCCTTATAATGAACACAGAATTTCATGGAATTTAAAAGATGAGCTGACAAGATGATGGTGTTTTCTTTGTCATTCTGTATTTATGTGTTTATCTGAAATGTGCAGTCAGTAGAGGGAGGGGACAGCAAGGGGAGGATAGAAAAGGAACATTTCTTCAGACCATGGTGTAGTGTTGTTTTTTGTATCACATTCCTGAGACGTATTTTATTAAAGCCTTTGCTTTCTGGGTTTGTTAATTGGTATTTATTTATTCCTTTTAATAGTCGTCCTCTATCTTCTAAATGGTCTGCAGCCACCCCCGGAAGCCTTGCTGGCAGAGGTATGTTTGTTCTTAAATAGCACACGATTGTTTTTAATGCTATTTTGGTCAAAAAGGAGAAAAAAAAAAAAGCAGCTTACAGTCTTTACCCCTTTACCTTATTATGCAATTGAGTTATTCAATGATACATGCCTTAGCTTTTACGTACTTTTAGTTGTTGCAAAACTGCCCTCTATTACCGAGTTTATTTATCCTCCCCATTCATTTATCTGTTTCTTTAAGTTTTCTCATGGACTCATCATTCTGGAAAGCACAGAGCATTACTCTGTGATCTATTAATGACCTTGCGGTTTATGCTAGTTGGAAATGAAGGAGTGTTGTACCTCTGATCTGTTACAGCGTATCTAGAAATGTTTCTTGTGCAGGGGAAAAAATACTTGTAATTCAGACARTTTCATTTTGTCTGGGTTTTCAGAATAGGATCGATCCATTCTTTCTCATTATTTCTTTGCAAATCCTAGTGAGTAAATCATTGACTCATTTTTATAAGTGGCCAGTTATTTTGAGTGCTTGTTTTCCTGAATACCTAAATTGTTAGGGGGGAGCCAAGTTTTAAAGGTATGCACCAATGGCTAACTGAGCCAAATAGTACTCAGCTAATAACTAGAGAGGAATATAAAAATATTTTACAGAAGATTAGACCATCCTGTAATTCAAAGTAGGCATTTAACTGTCCAATTGCTGTTTCTTTCAGATAGGCAGTTTCTTACCTGATGTGTGCAAAGAATATCTGGTTCAGTATCACAGAGAACACTGAATTGCTGTGAATTCGTGAAGCATCCAGCAATATAATGAACAAACGACACAGATGTTGACAGTTTATGTCACTTACATTATGGTGGGAGCAAGTAGCTTTTGTAGAGTAATGATAAAATTTCATAATGAAGATGAGAATACTGTAAAATACTGAATTGATTCTACCTTGAGTACTACTAAGACTGGAGAAGAAAGCTGAGTTACTCATGAATTCAGGTATTAGGCTAGTTGGGCAAATCAAGAACTTTGCTCTTCACCTGAATTTCAAGGCAACACCTGGTCTAGCATTTCAGTACCTCTTGGCCGTGTGTGTGTGCTTTTAACCTTTTAATCATACTCTGTTTTTTGTTCATGTGATTTATAGCATATAAGGGTGTTTCCTGCATTTTTTGCGAGCATGCTGCAGCAGCAGCACAAGGCAGCCTTGCCGAGGCAGCGCGGTGCGTTCATTGCCGTACGAAGGAGCGTAACTGTGTCTCAGTTTCAGGCGGCGGCGGCGGCGGCAGGAGCGTGGGCAGCCCGGGAGGCCTGCAGCGGTCCCGCAGCGACATCGACGTGAACGCGGCGGCGGGGGCCAAGGCCCGGCACGGCGCCGCGCAGGGCGCCGGCCGCCTCTCYGCAGCCGGCCTGCCGCCCGGCTCCTACGCCTCGCTCGGTGAGGGCTCCGCACGCGCCCCCTGCTTCTGTCTCTCTCCTTGGCTTTGCTTGCAAAGAATTCCTGGCAAAGTGCTCCCGCTTGGGGAGAGCTTGGTCCTTTTGAGTGGTCCTGGGGTACTGCAAAAGAGCAAGTGTTCTGAAGTAAGGTAACGGCGTTGCTGGATATTTGTCCTTCTGTTAAAAGAGCATCAATCTAAAGAATGCATCCCTACCAGGCTCTTTAACTGCCAATATTTTAAGGATGCAAAGGATTGATTCCCTGCCTTAACACAGAGGGCAGTGACCATGTCTACAGTAAGGACGTCAGCATTAGACCGCCATTCCCCCTCTTATTCCATGCTTTGACATTGAATGTATTTCTGCTGGTGGCAGCATTAAATGCTGGAGCTTGCACTTGGGCTAAGCTGAGCCAACGTGTGAGGAGGAGGAGGCGGCGGTGTGAGACATCGTGTCTCTGCTCTTCCCAGGGAGCAGTGCCAGCCAGATCGCTGAGGAGACCAATCCTGCTGTCAGTGTTGCAAACACAGCCCCAGGCCGGCCAGAGAAACGTGTATAGGCCCTTGGATTTACCTCGAGTCTGGGAGATGTTAGGATATGTTTAACCTGCATTTGTGCAGTTCTTGTTCTTTAATTCAAACTTTGGCGTTAAAATAGTTGAAATCAGTTGACGCTCTCGTGCCGTTAGTGCGTTCTTGAGACGCTCGGAGCACTGCTTGTTCTAGGATTAAATTTGTAAGCACTGATAACCTCGACAAGCGGTCTCAACCTCGGCCTGTAGCCCAGGGTTGTGGGCGCCCTCTCGTGCCCACAGGGTGAATCAGAGGTGGCACCAAAGCCTGGCAGGGAATGCGAGCCCATGGCCATGAGTGAATGCCACGGCACCTGAATTAGCTGTAGGGGCCATTCTCCAAGATGACAGTGTTGCCTGGTCTGTGCTCGTATGCACAGTGTTTGTCTTGGTCAAGGCTGGGATTTGGTTCATGTGGGAAGCCATGGAAAACAGACTTACAGCTTAATATGTAATGATAGAAGTAGCAAGTCAGAAGTCAAAGAGAAATGGAGAGAGAGGGAAGGAGGGAGATCAGCCTCTTTCTGGGAATGTGTCTTCATGCTGGTGAAATGGAAGGACTGCTAKGGTCTTTTATTAAAGTGAGGAGAAATTTAACTTGTGACCGGAGTGTAGATGTGCTCGCAGAGCATCTGAGTGACTGTGCCGCTCCTTGCCTTGAGCTTGTAAGGTTGAGAAGGGGCACAGAGGTCTCCAAGTAAGTAGATAGTGGTGCTTTTCATGCAGGGAAATAACAGAAATAAATAACTATTCCCGTTGTGTATATAGTAAGTCTAGGCTTTAGTAGGATTTGAGTATCTGCAAAGCTTTGCGTTGTTAGCAGGCGTAATCGCAGTACTTCTGGAGGAGAATAGTGTTGAATTGCAATGGCAGAATAACTCAGAGTAAAGCAAGGAGGCCGCTGGTTGTTTGATCTGTGTTTGTTTTCCTAACAGTTTTCTGAAAGTGGTGGGTCATTAAGTGCTGCGCGCCTGTCCCCTCTTCAACTTAGTGTAGAGAGGGCAAGTGGGGTGTATTCCTTGGCTATTCACCTTGAAATATGCTTTTCCCTTTGTTTTGAGAAGGCAATCGCAATTCGGCAACTACACTAATTAGACAACATCCCCTGTCTGTGGTAAAGGGTTTTGGGTTTTTTTTGATGCTATACCCAAATATGGCAGCTTAAATGACAGAATAGTGAAAATAGTGCTGTCATGCTAGAAAGTTCTCGAAAGTTGTCTTGTTTATTGTTGCAGAGAGCTTTCCACATTTTCAGGTGTCAGTACCAAAGTAAGTTGTGTCGTCTTTTCTAGAGCTTTTATATGTTTTCACACTCCCTTGGAGAATCATCCATCTTTAGGTTAAGCAGCTGCAAAATTTCCAGTCTCAGAGGACTCTAAATTCCTGAGCATTGTAAACTACATTTACCTCCGCCTGCTTCCTTTCTCTTTATTGTTAATAGAAATAACTTTGTGCTGCGATTGTATGTATCCCTATGTATTTCTGTTTTTGAAACTGTTCTGGAATCAGGAGGACATTCTCTGCTTGAGTTAATATAAATGTTGACTAACTTTGGGTTTCTAATTGTTAATGTCCTTTTTGAAGAGGCACAGRCTATGCTTACGTATGTCTCACATGAAATGTTTCAGTGGTACTCAGTTTTACTCCCAAGCTGTTGTTATCAGATTATGTATGCCCTGTCTTCCAGCTGAACTGTTGAATTTTTCATATTTTCAAACTAGTGAGACTTCCATTTTTTTCTCTGTGTTTATTGTGCTGTCTTTTCCCTTCTTGCCCATGKTAGACTTCATGCTGAGTACCAAATTTCATGAGAAAAAAGGAAAAAATGTGCTATAAGCAATGATACAAACATGTATTGATGATTCCTTAACTGGTGAACATCAAACATGACTTAGTAAGTTTTTAACTGTAGAAGTTTCCTCRTATCTGGATAATATGAAGAAATGCTGCATCCCTATTCAGTGACTCCATCCTGGAATTGTACACCCTGGACTAGCAGAAACCAGCTTTATTTAAGTTAGCTTTATACATGCATGAATCAGATAGACATATGTCTGCAGTATTTAATATTAATGTATTTTCCTTAATTAATGTTTTATGACTCTGCTGTGAACACCTTTATTCTAACACACTAAGTTTTCCATGTTTCTTTGCCTGCTTTTTCAACAAAGAGGATACTTCTGACAAGATGGATGGTAAGAAATTGTTTAGTCTACCCTCTAATCCTAATAATTATTCTTTGTATCTTTTATGTAAAATACTTGATGTTCAATGTATTTGTCTGTTAATTAACAAATTCTATACTGTTTTAATTAATCCCTGTATAATCCTGATACTTTAATGTATGCTGTTCTATTGCTGTATTTGTCAGTATTCTTTGGATGGTTGGTCTAGAAATTAGATTTTATTTCCCTTTTTAAAAAGTTGTGCAAAATTACAGAGTTATTCTGCCCTTTTATAACTAGTTGTGGTTCCATCATGTTTTAGTTTTGCCTATATAGACAAATTAGAGGGCCTTTTTTCCTGAATAGAAGTGGGAGAGCAGATTTCTGACAAAGTGTTAGGATTTTTAGAGCAAAACTAAAGTTATCTCTTTAAAAAGTACTTCTACCACGATCTAGAATCAAGCTACTTAATTTTAAGTGCTTATAGATTCTGTAATCTAATGATTGAAAGAAGAGTTTGCTAAGAAAACACGTAGCTTTTTCCAATAGCTCACCAAGTATTCCAGATGGGTTATAACACTTCTCTGTCCCTTCCCCCCCTTCACTGCTTGTATTGTCCACCCTTAGGGACTAGGCATAGATTTTCACTGTARTTGCCAAGTAGCTGAAAATCAGCCTCTTGACACTTACTAGTCTGTTTTAGGTATGTGTAAGTAACACTTCMTATAACAGAAACTGGCTGTATCCCATCTTGGTGTCTAATACTTCTCATTATTATTTTATAACTTAATTATTGCAGGAAATGCTTTAAAAGCCAGCTTTGTTTAAATAAACTTATTAAATAGTTGTTGCTACATATATTTTAACAATTTCCAACCATTTTTAGAAGTGCATGTAGTTTCCTGGACGCAAAGCAAATGTCATTTTTTCCTCTCCCAGATTATTGTGTCTGAGAAAATAATTATACCAAATATGCAAATAGGTGGAAACAATKGAAAGGAAGTTCTCCTAAAACTCTGAATCCTGAGCTATTCTTGGGAAGAATTTGAGCAGAAGTTAAGCAGCTATTGTAACCCTGCTTCCATAGAAGGAGATGTTTGGACAGTGTTACAGGAGTTTTCTCACCCCCCATGTCAGATATCCTTGTGTTGCATAAAGTAGGATTGATTTTGAACTAGCTGTTCTAAACACTTCCCTGGAGTTTTTGCTTTTATCCCAAGCAGTAAAGAGTCTTAAGGCCAAATGTGTAGGTTGCTCCTTTTGTTCAGCCCAGGAGTCTAAACTAGTGGCGCTCTCCTGTATGTTTGTCTGAATATAAGGGAGGAAGCCGTGCAGCAGTGACCAAAGCCATCTCCTCCTACAGGATATCTGTAGGGATGAACAGACCCGTCTTGGCTTCCAGCTTATAGATCTGAGCTGATCGTTCAGAGCTGATCACACCCTCACCCACAGCAATTGCCTATTCCTCCTCTCCCCAGTCTCGGCCATATATTTTCACCACTTGTTCTTTATAATACCGCTCTGCGAATCGTTTGAGAGAAACAAATCTTGTCAAATCACACTGCACCCACTGATGTGGTAGAACACGAGTTAATGTCCTGTTATTTTGCTTGCTGCACTGACGAGCCTTCAGGTGGCCCGAGATGCTGGCCCAAGAGTGGGGGAAGGAGAAGCAGAAGGACCAGCTCCCTGTGGGGCTGGCTTAGCCATAGGGTAGAGCTGCCTGCCCTCAGGGGCTGCGTCTGGTGTTGCTGGGCTGGGGCAGAGAGGGGCTTTTACACACACTGGCAATTTGGACCAGGCAAGCYGAAGCTTTTCTGTGTCTGGAAGGTGCTTTCCGTGCACAGGTGTTGATATTTACACTGGGTTAGGTTTAAAAGAGGCTCCTGACAACAATGTCTGGAAGATTTTACCGGTATGGAGATAGTGAGAGCCAAATTTGCTGAGAGGGTTGTGTTTAGGCTAGTGGAACACCCTAACAGACAGGAACTATATTAGACTGAAAACAAAAATGTAATTACCATTGGATTTGAGACATGAACAATTTGCACTACAGTCTGAAAATATGTTATTCATAATCAGATTTGTGTTTCAAGAAGTGCAAGAGAGGAGTACTGCGTTGACATCAGTTCTTAGGTATTGATGACCATAAATTGAATCAGGTTGATCTCGTGTCTTTATCATACGCCAAGCCTTTATAATAATGTTGGCGTGTCTGTTCAGGTGYGATCTGGTTTCAGCAAGCTCAGCTTCCCTCAGCAAAACTTGATCTCCTATGTGTCAATTTTTCAGAATCATCAAGGACCTCGTTCAAATAACTCCGCCTTTCTCACAGTTTCTGTCWTTTTTTTTTTGTCCAGTTCATGAAACTTCTGGCCCTTGTTTTGCTGTTCTTGGAGAGAGAGGACTTTGTGTTATGTTTTATATTTTTGAAAGAGCTTGCACTAAAATATTTGGAACAAATATATTTGATCTGGACGTGTAATTTAGTTTACTTGATCTCATATGTTGTTTTCCCTGCTGATTTTCAGTATTTTTATAATAAGTTTAGAAGGCAGTGCTACGTACTGTATGTTTGTTATGTAGTATTGCCATTTCTTGATATTCCACTGAGCTTCAAAGATGGAGTTGCAATACAGGYGCTTTAGACCTCCTCTTAGCTTGATAACATCTGTTGAGACTCGCAAGATTTTTAATCTTTAATTAAAGGAATTGAAGAGAAAGAGTATTGTTTGGAATATCATGTATTTTATTATTTTTTTTCTGTTTAGGAACAGCTTCTGAAGATGGTAAGAAAATACTTTGTTAGAATAGCAAATATTTTCAGCTTCCATTTTTCATTGATACAAACTAAGTTTTAAAAGTAGATTTTGCTCTTTCTGGTACTACATTGAGGTTCGTAACTTCACATGGCTTATGCATCTAATACTTGGTTGTCATGTAACATTTTAAAAATTCTTTTGCTTTATTATTTTTAGTTTGCAAGCTCTCATCTGCAGTAGAAGTGTCGTTGCTTAACATTTTAGTGTGAAAAAAACAGGAGCGTTATAGTTTGGCTTTTTATTTTTTTTTAGCAAGTCTTGTTGCAGAAAATTTCATCAAATGTGCTCATGCTCTGGGAAGCAGGTGCTACTATTCTCTCTGAATTGATTTTCAGTATGCTATTAATATATTGAAATCCGTCATCTAGAGAATAAACGTAGAGACTCTAATTGAGTTAATTCCTTTGCTTTGCAAAGAAACTTTTTTGTTACTTTAATTCAATTTGATGAATTTCAAATGATGATTTAAAGCTGTATCCAAATAGTGGCACTCTGTATTCTTGCATTTTGGGGCCCAGATTCTGAACGCAGTTGCATTCCTTGCAGACTCAGTGGGAAAACATTGCCATTGCACGGGGATAACTAGTAGAGTTTGGACCAGTTACCTTAAGCCAGTATTGTCAGCACGTTGTTTTCTACTAATTTAGTGAATAACCTCCTTTATTCTGACTCTCTTAATAGACTCTCTTCTCTGGCTATCCCTTCTTCTTGGATGAATGATATTAAGTTGGTTGGTCTCCAAATTCTTCTGTGGAAAGCCTGGGGAGGCTAGAACTGTTATAAAAGTCTATTGTAAAAGTCTGTGTGTCTGGTTCTTCTGGGTCAAAGAATGACTTGATACATCTGGATAACATTCCAGTCTTGCTTTTTTTTTAAATTTGGAAGACTTGCTGAACTAGCTCCATGCTCTGTGAGCCGTGGGGTTTTTGTGCCTGCAACTTTTCAAATTGTACTTAGACTGCTTGGTTTGTTTGTATTTTGTTTTTCTGTTGGTTGAGAGGTTATAAAGAATCCCAGAATGGTTAAGGTTGGAGTAGACCCTGAGAGATCATCTAGTCCAAGCCGCCTGCACAAGCAGAGTCCMCCCGAGCCTGGGGTCGTGACTGGGCAGGTTTTGAAGCTCTCCACAGAAGGAAACTCCAAGGTTGGCTTAGGAAAGTAGTGCAGGAATTTTGCACTAGGAGTTCTCTGTCAGCTACCTGTCAGTCATGCAGCTGGGCTAGTCCCTTAGTTATCTCACCCTGCTCTCTGACCATTGAGGAGCATGGGCAGAAGTGCACAAAGCTGGACACCAGCTGGATTGCCCTCCAAGCAAAGAGAATTTTACTGTTGTAAAATGCTGTAAATGCCTTGCAAAATCCGGTAGAATTTTACAGGACCAGGTCTGCAGCCAGGAAAACATTAGAATTGTCAGTAACGGGAAAGTTTTTAGATTTCTAAAAAGAATGATGGGAAGAATTTTAGACCCTTATTCGAAAGATATCCCAGGTTAGGTTTGTTGTCTTGAGATAGCCAAAGCAGAATTATAAGCACAAGTAATAGTGAGACACCTGTTAGTTATACCCATTGCCTATTATCTTTATTTAATAAGATTACCCTTTGTAATAAAATCAACGTATTTATGTAGGAAACCACTTGCTAGTTCGGGGTTTTTAAATGGTAATGTGCAAATTTCTTACTGAATCACATTAGAACCAGGGCGGAATATTTTGATTCCTCACCTGTTAAATCCTGTGAGGATTTCAAATTTCTACTAATTATCCCAAGTGAACTTTTCTTGATAAAGTTATGTCGTGCCAGATTTGTACCTACAGAAGACTAATAAAATGCTAGTAACCACTTCCGCTTGTTTTGCTTTCTACATTGCTATGAAAAGATTGATTTGATTATCATTTTTATTTTACAGGACGCGTACGAACAAAGCTTTCAACGCCATCTGTTGGTATTGGAAATTCCAAAACGGATTCCAGAGGACGCAGCAGAACCAAAGTGGTGTCTCAGTCGCAGCGTACGTATTTTCTGTTCATCACCTATACCCAATAAAGAGTCCAAATGTTTAAGCATACATTCATTGACCAATGGCTACAGTCAAAGTTAATTTTTAAAAAAAGAAGCTGCATACTGAGTTGTTGTTCTGTGCCTTAGGTTCATCATCGCCAGACCAAAATGAAGGTATTTTTTTCAGTGTTTTGGGTCAGTGGCATTTGCATGCTTTTCTAATTTATGTTGTTTTCCTCTGGATCAAACACTAGGTTCAGTCTTAGTTTGCCAGATAAACCAGGCAGCTTGATAGGAAATGAAATCTGTCCCAAAGTTGTCTTTTCAGTTAGAACTTCTCAACATTCTTTTTCCCCCCCCATGTCTGTCTGTTTTACCAGCACCCACAATCCTACTATCCCACACCCTCAAGAGGTCTCTACCACCAGTAAACTTCTCGACCAGTTAGATTTAATACATGACCGAGTAAAAAGGAAACATGGATAGGCTGGATGGTGCTTTCAGGATTACCTATAAAACCAGATTTTTCAAAAAGTCCTCTTTTGGGCACCAGAAATACCTCTTTTCATTTTAAGCTGGGCAGTATTCTAACTCAAGGCTATTTACTCCTTTTTATATGATAACTGTTACCTTTTCTTAAGTTAGTAAGCACAAATATAAAACCCAAATTTTATAGTTTCTTTCTTTATCTTGAAGTCAAATGGTTAAAACAAGCAACTTACTCTTATGGCAGCTGATTCATAGGTGTATTCTCTGAAACAACTGGAAAAAGGCTCAGTTCTCAGTGATTCATGTGAAGGGCAATTGCCTAACACTAGTGAGCAAGTGGAAGTGTTACTGATGCCTCGGCTGACCCCTGGCAATTGGTTCCTGTGTCTGGGGTCTCCAGGAGGCATTGCTTCTGTACTGGTAGTAGAGAACTAGTTCACCTTTGGAATTAAATGAAATAAGATGAGATTAACTAAATTAAATAAGGAAAACTTAACAGTGTCTTTAAGAAAAATTAACTGCTTATATAGTTTGACAGCTGTAGTGTTTCGAGGTCAGTGAATTAGATAGGTTTGATTTTCCCGGTGTCATTACTACTCTGTACCAAACCTTACCCCCTTTCTTTTAATGAATCCCCATAATTCTGTATTTAATGGCAGGAATCTTTATTTTCTTATCAGTGACTGCATTTATCATAAATAGAATGATTTTAGAGGTCAGAAAATCACCAAAGGTAGTTAATGTCAATACTCTGAGATTTTATTTTTTAGATTTTCTATGTAAAAGCACTTCAGGTGGTCTTCATGTCAGATTTTATTTTCTGTCGAGTGCTGCTGAATCAGGTTTGATTCCATATTTGSACATTTTGTTCAAGCGAACTTGCGAAAGTCTGAACAGAAGGGTCCAGACACATAAAAATCTAGTAAGTTCTCATAATAAGTAAACATTTTCCTGGGAAGTGTTGTAGTCCCCSACTTACTTATGAAATGAGAGTTTGTACCTGTAAAAGAGATGCTGCAAAATTTTTGTATTGTCATCTTTTTATATGTCATCAGCAAAGAATAATTGGCTAAATAATTTGAGTAGAAAAAAGTAAGTCTCACCAAATCACTGTTTCAATTTAGGAAAAGCAGTGAGCAACTTCTTGAAAATAACCTAGTATCTTGCAGAAAGTGATAAAATCTTAAGAAGTTAGGATGATTTATAAACTGAGGTGTTAAGTATTAAACTAAGACTGCCATGATTTCCAAGTATTGTCATTATATCATTAATAAAACTGACTCTACATATTCAGAGAAATAAAAATGGAAACTTTCAGTGGTTTTTTTTTTTTTTGCTCTTTTTTTAGAACACTTTCTTAGAGTATTCATATCTAAAGAGATGAACTGCCCTTGAAATAGYTAGATACTTTTACATGTGATTTGTGAAAATTAAATACATGAAACTCTTTTCAGCTTTATGCCACTTTTTCCGTTCAAAACTGATGCCTTCAGATAACTTGGTAACCTTTCAGTGGGGGAGAATAAGAATTCTGAGATGTTTTAAGAAAGATAAATAGGATCCATACAAATGAACAGGTGGAGGGGAACTGTTCTGCACTACATGACTGCTATATGGATGATGCTTTTCTATGTAGATGAAAAATTTCACAGCATTGTAGGCCACAAGAAGCTCAGTGTTTTCATATAGGGGATTATTCAGTTTCCCCACTAAGAGTAGACTTTGTATTAGATTTAAGCTCGCGTTTCTTAGAAACCACTGTACTACAGATGCTTTTGTGAATTTAGGGCTAAAAATGTGCTTCTGTTTAAAGATCGTTATATGAAAGACTTGCAAATTTGAATACTTTTACAAAAATGCTTATGTATAGGACTTTAGAAGACCTTTCCTGCTACTATATTTAAATTGTAACAAATAATAAATAAATGCATATACAATTAGCATTCTACATTATTCTTATGTATGGAAAAATTTGATCTTTTTCTTCCTTTCCAATCTGTTTGGTTGTCAGCTGTGCTGACAAGCTCTACTACTCTTATGTTACAGCCTTAGTTCAAAGAAAAAGAACAAAATTTATGAATGTAAACAAATTCTTATTTTAAAACATCAGATAAAGTATAAAAAGAAACAAAATATATGCAAGTCTTTTCAAACGTACCATTGTGAAAGCTTTTATTTTGTCATTCACCCCACCTGCAGCTCAGTTCTTTTACTGTCTGTCTCAAACAAAAATTATGGTTTGGCCTTGTGTGCATTTTTTGTTCAGCTACTGAACTTTTATTTATTTGACAAGCTGATTTTTTTTAATGATTTTTAGAGGCTATGCTACCATGTTTAATTGAAATTTAATTCTTCAGTGTTATCCAGTTTGCTAAATAGAAAGCTGAAGAATTGTGATTTGCTTGTGCAGCTTGGCTTCATCTGCTTTGTGCATAGCATCTTGAGCTTAGTACTTCAACTATAGAAGCTACTTAAAAGCACTGCTTTAGCGTAACTCCCTTGTGGCTTTTTTCCTGTGTGAAATGACTAAAGCTTTCTTATTTCCATTTGCCATCCATTTTTAATCTGCTCTGCTCCCTCCCTCTTCATGGACTATAAACCCCTACCCTAATCCTGCCTTTACACTTGTTCAGGATCACAGTCTGCTAACCCCATTGGTGGTAAGAGTCTACAGAATTTGTGTATACGTCATTGTTTGATCACCTCTTTACATATCTCATTTAAGGATCCTATTCAGCAGAAATTCTGGGGCACTTTAGTGCACTCTGCACTTCCCTGGTCTCAGGTGGTCATTATTTAGCAGGCAGCCGTGTGGGGCAGTCAGCAGTTTGCAATAGCTTTTTAGCAGCTTCCTCCTCTTTCAGCATTAAATTGCTTTCAGTTCTTCAGATCCACTCCTGCTCATAGTGTTGACACCTTGGTATGCCAATACTGTCATTTTTAGGGCAAAATTTTCAGGCTGGTAAGTTTGATTTGGGGTATTTAGGCTGTAGGGGTGCACTTCGCGGGTGAGCCAGGTGGAGAGAGAAAAAGCAGAGGAAGGAGAAGCTGCTTTCCATCAGTTTATTTTGAGAAGAGTAAATTTTCAAGTTTCAGCTATTCAGGAAGAGCTAAAATTACAATGAACCGTTTTCCAAGACTTCCATGTTTTATAGAAAGATATAAAACATGGAATGGGACAGGGGAGCACAGTGCAAGGCGGCATGGCAGCATCAGGTCCAAGTTGAAAAGCTTCAATAGGAAGAAATATCCAAACCCCTTGTTTTTTGTAGCACACCCCACTAGCTTTTAGATTTTCCCAGTTGCTGTTTCTAGGCTGTGTGATGCTGCATGTATCATTTCTGCTGAAAAGGTCCTTAGTTTAGAAAACAGTGTTTTACTAAATAATCATTTCAAGTTTGAATTCAAACAATGAATCTGAAAGTATATGCATGATCCATGGTTTTAGTCTTCTCCTGTTCACTCAGCACATATTTTATTTGATTTTTGTTTTATTTTTTCCTCCATATTCTCAAGCTTTAATCAGCTGCTATTCAGCTGTGGCTTTATTCTTTTTTTTTTTTATTATTATTCTTTTTTTTCTCTTTTTTTCCTCTAGTAGTATATTTGCTTTTTTGGTTGCTACTAATCGTCCTTACATAAGTGTTCCATGGAACTCACTTGAGATGTTGCATGATAAGCTTACAGAACTGATAGCAGTATCTGTGGTCATCCACTTACCTGATTACGTTTAAAGAGTTATTGAAAGTTTCATAGCTGTCGTGTGGTTAACTTTTGGTTAAAGTAACGTTTAATAGGTTAGACTTGCACTTGAATACTGTGGCTTGAAACAGTAATGAATGTATTTATATGAACTGCTGGTAAAAATACAGAGAGGTATCAGAGTAGAGTGGGGTTTTTCATGAGGGTTTGGAAGMTAAATTCTCTGAAACTGGAATATCACAGGGTGGAGATAATTTAGGGATCYGTGACCAGTTCCTGGTAGCAGGTACTGTGTACTGGAATACACTAACTGTGCATTATGTAATTATTGTACTTCAAAACACACAGTTTGGATTATTACCTTTAATAAGAAGGTAAGATGCTTAAATAYACTGTAGAGGGACTTTAAAAAACCCTTTAATTAAAAGAAGCTTCCTTTGAATCTGTGGAATAACTTCCCACAGAAGTAAATGTGAATATTTCTTTTGTCTTAYGAGACATTTAGATTTAGCTTCTCAGATGGTTGTGCCCAAATATTGTACTTTAAAAAGTACATAAATATTGGGAAAAATAATTGGTTATGATATTTGTTGCTGTAGAAGAACTTGGCTAATTAAAATCACTGTTTGAAAGAGGGAGAGTTGCATCTTAGCAGTGTGAGTGTTTCTGTTTTAGTCTATCTAGTGAGAACACGTAGCTTAGAAAATGAACATGCCAGCCTTTGTAATAGGGCTATCAGAGATATTAGACCTGTTTATGAATAATAGGAATATTATCTATGGTTTTTTKAGTATATGTGGTGTGAAATACCATGCCAGGTGCCTCTGGGCTTGATAATTCTACCTCCCTTGTGTGTAATGCTTTATGAACTTGTACTGGATTGTTCGATTTCGTGTTTTTACCTTCAGACCATTTCAACCTGGCACCACTTTTCTACTTGTTTTAACCATCCTTTTTCCATTTGGTTGTTAATATTCTGTGCCGACGCTGACATCTGTTCATTTTGCCTACAGCTGGCAGCAGATCTGGGTCTCCTGGAAGAGTTTTGACAACAACTACGCTCTCCACTATGAACACAGGGGTTCAGAGAGTGCTGGTGAATCCTGCAGCTGCACAGAAACGAAGCAAAATCCCCCGAAGTCAGGGATGCAGCAGAGAAGCTAGTCCTTCTAGATTGTCAGTAGGTAAGAACTGCAACATAACTGTGCCTTTATAGAACTGCTTTTGGTGTAGAACACCTGTGACCTGTGAATTGGTTACAGGTGGGTGGTAAAGTTAGAACATGGCTAGGCAAAAAAGTAAAATTTGCTTAAAGTCYGAGACTAGCCTTTGATATGGGAGACAGCTTTGAACTTAAGCTGAAACTTCTTTTTTTGTTTTGTTTAGTTTCCTGTCAGAATGTAGTAGTTTTTGCCTTTCTTCCTCTTCTTTCTTCTCTCCTTCCTTTCTCTTCTTACTCTTCCCCCAAATCATCCACATTGATTAAATGAGTGTGCTGGTGTTTTGAAAAGATAATTTTCTTTAATAATTGCTTTTATGTGTCTTCTACATGTGTGTGCATGTATGTGTACTTACATTATACAGAGATGAGTGTCATGCTTCCTAAACCCTGTGGTATAACCTGATTACACTTAATTGAAAAATATTGGTTCATTTCAGTGGCGTGGTTGTTCTCTGCTTTTTTTTGATTTTACCTTAGCTGTGTTTACTATATATTTTCCCTTTTTGAAAGCTTTTCCTTGATTTGCATTACTGTTGTTTCAGTTAATTAGAACTTGAGCACCATTTCTCAATTACTCACTCTGTGTTTTTCATTGTTGGTTTCCACTCCATCTTTTTCAATTGTTTCTCAATCTTTCTATAAAGAGTTGGTGACTTTACTTGCTTAGCTGAACAAAGAAGTAATTTCACTGAGCAGGCTGCAGTTAGTGTCACAGGGCAACCAACCAAATGCCCGAAAACAGTCGCTAGCTAGAATACAGCGTAATCAAGTCAGCGTCTTGTCTTAGAAAAACATCTTTGACCTTGCTRAAACCCGGGACTGCATTAAAACTGCAACTTTTCTTGTGTCTTCTCCCTTCTGTGCTGCTGTGGGCCTGCACCCTGAATCATACTAGCGCGAGGCAGCCGCATTCCTCGGCCTAGTGTGAGTCAGGGCTGCAGTCGGGAGGCGAGCCGCGAAAGCAGCAGGGACACGAGCCCTGTCCGCTCTTTCCCACCCCTCGGTAAGTACTCGGAGCCCGTGTCGTGCATGGCTGTGTGTGCCCTTCRTGCTCCGCGCCGCCCTCCTCCGCCTTGTCCTGGCTTTGCCTCGCTCCCTGGAGATGGAATCCATGCGCAATGGCCAAGACCGGTGCTTTGCTAGGCTCAGTCCTGCCCGAAAAGCCCAGAGTCCTCAGAGATTCCTCATGCACAGGGTCTAGGTAGCTTCTGGAAGGGCCCTTCTGCCCTTTCGGAGTGGCCTGCTGCTCTTGGGTTTGGCATTGCACGTTTCAATGTGAGTTTTCATTGCTCAGTGCAGCTCGATGATCCTTTTCTCCCTGATGGGACACACTAGTGTGGAGCATGTAGTCGGGCTGTTGTATCCCACCCTCCCCTGTTCCGATACCCCGGAGCTGCTGGTATTGCCAGTGACTCACTGATCAATGATTTATTTTGCTAATTGGATAAGAATGTAACAGGCTTCATTTTKTCTCCTTAGCTGCACTGTTGTCACTGTATTATGAATGAAAAATAAAAGTATATATTATTATTATACTTACTACTTGTACTTATTACATAAGTACATCATATATATGTTTAGTAATAATAACAGCAGAAACTTACAACTTAAAGCAAGGAAATGTGACAGTGCAGCTAAGGTGTAATGTACTGAAGCAGAGCTGTGTTAGCTGCTTTAGCTAGAGCTGCGAAACTGCTTTATRTTTTCTAGCAGTTAATAGGGGAAGCAGTGAGGTTCTTATCCAAGTAGGTGGATCAGGGCATGGTTTTGAAGTTTCCTTTTAATCTTGTGGAAAAGCAGTGATAAGTAGTAAGAGCTTCCATGAAGTTAGGCAGCAAAGGCAATAAAGGAGATGTTGACGAAGTTCACATTCTTACAGCCACATTCAGTCCTGATTCCTGGAGCTACTATGAGCAAAAGCTTCCTTTTCACTTAGTATTTTAGTTTATTGGCCAGGCACAAGATATTGCACAATTATTGAGCTAGTATCATTTTCTGAAACATAAATGAGGTGGAGGAACAATAGCTTTTAATTACTGTGACATGCTGCTGGCTAAGGATTTTGGGGACATTTCTCATCTCCATGTGCCTTTTTAAASGGTGCAGCAAAGTTGGTAGCACATTCTAATTAAAAATATTTAGAATTGTTTTTTATTGTTCTGTTTTGACTTCTGTAGTACAGAGCTGTAATTCTAACTAGCTTTGGAAGTATGACGCGGTCTATTTAGGCAGTATGCTTCCTGTCAGCTCCCTGTTTATTGAGAAAGCAGGGATTAATTGGATGAAAGCTGCTTCCATCGCTAATGCTAACTTACCCAGATGCTGTTTAATTGGGGAATTACATTAAAAGTGGGCGTTACACAGGCTCTGTTATTAAACTGTTATCTCCTACTAAAACACAGCTGGCAGCTTGTTTGGAATTATACATGTATCTCTGTAACAGTGTTTTCCAGATCTTTAATGCTTCTTTTGCCACCCTATAGCTTGAATTCAATTGCATGCATGTGACATCTGATTTACATTTAATTTGCAGTAATCTGGTCATTATTTAAAGAATCTATATAAAGCTAACACCATAATAATGATAATTGCTGGTTAATTGGGGCTGGTGCTACTTGAGATTTTATTTTATTGGTGCAGTTCTTGATTTCTATATTCACATAGCAGAGCAAAAATCTACACAAACATAATAGGTTGTGATGTKTGATTGCAAAAAATAGTGTAGCGTGTACAGGAATCCAGAGCTAATAAACTAATGATAGTAAAAAAGCTGTACCTCACATTAGGAAGATTTCTTGTTTTACCACATCTAGATTCATGGGATGTAATTAACTTCCATTGAAGACACTTAGTGTATTTTTTTCAGGGTTAGAAAATGTAATGATTAGGCAAATTCGGCTCTATATCAGTAACTAAAATGTTTCAGATGATTAGGGGAAATGTAATTTATGCCATAACTGGTTCTCATCAGAGACTGATTTTTTGTGCACAAGTACACAAGTATGCACAGGTATGCACAAGTATGTCCCTTTTGGACATAAAGTGCCTCAAATTTTATATAATTACTTCCCTTATGTATGTTTGTATGAAGATTTCTGTAGTCTCACATCGTAGCATAAGACTATAAAGAGGGAGATCTGGCCACTCTTGAGAAGCGAATGGTCTGTAATCTCTGTGGAACTGCTTTGCTTTTTGCTGCATACAGCAAGTGCTAAATACCAGGCTGGGATAACTTCTGTAAACTAGTCAAAAATACAGTATTTATGTTATTTTTTTAATAAGTGATCCATGTTTTGTTTTATCCTTTAAAAGCAGAAAGAAGCCTAGACAAACAAATACTTACACAGTCTCTGCTATTTGAGGCCTTGAARGAATRTTCTTGAAAAATATTCCTTCATTGAATCCATTTGATCCAATCTAGTACTTCCATTCTTGTGCATTTGAATTGCACATCTGAATATGCACATTGCAGACGTAGGGAGACAGGTTCATCTCAAATTATCTCTGATGTTGGACTCTTTAATCATACCTTTAATTTTCAGGGCTTGATGGTGGAAAATAACTACAGGTTACCACGTTATTACTTGTGTTCAAAGCCCTYTCAGTCTTTCTGCTTGTATTTTAGCACACTCTACCCTGTCCCCTTTTCCATGCTGAAACATGCTTTCTAAGGAACCAAGTATTCTGTGAAACATTATTTACAAAACAAAATTCCATACCTAAGCAACTTGTGAATAGTTCGACAAAAATATTTTGCTAATTCTTATGTAAGAACTAAAGATCTTCAAGTGGGGAAAAACCAGTATTATTTCTAGGACCTTTACAGGGCTCAAGGTTGCTTTGGAGCTCACTCAGTGCACTGAACAAGTCTGATTCTGTGCAGCTTGGCGTTATTTGATTCAAATCACTCTTAAATTTCGTATGTTAATCAGAGTACAAGGTAATTCACTTCTTGATTCCTGTCTTATTTCTTYGTGTCCAGGAGATGAGTATTTGTGCTTATAGATGATTACTAAATTRTAAAATTGCTCTAGGATTGATTTTGTGGATGGACATCTGAATCCAGTGGCAAAACCAGCTTTATCTACAACTTAAGACCTCTGTTTTAAGTCTAGAGGAGTAGAAAATTGTCTTGCTAGAAGCGCACTGAATATAAGCCTGCCTAAGGAAAGAGCCTAGTAGCAGTGTGAGTGTGAGCAGTGTGAGGATCTCTAGCAGGCCAAGTTTATACAAGTGCCAAGAGGAGGAGCAGGATACTCAGTTTTATTCAAGAGTGCTTAGGGCTGCCCAGGTCCCAGTTTTTATTACCTTAAAGAGTTTTAGTGGGCTGTGGTAACACAAGGCATCCATGCTTCAATTTCACTTTTTAGTTTTTTAAACGTAAAATACGACTATGAGAATTTACATGAAATTATTTTAAATTGCTGATTAAAATGCAGTAATGCAGATTTTCACTTACTGGTGATTGATAACTGAGGCCATTTTCCCTACACACAGCACGAAGCAGCTAATGCAAATATAGTCAGCTGGTGACTCTAGGGCTGTGCAGTATTCACTTCCTGCAGATCAGTGCCTGGCACATGAGCTCTGTCTCTAACTCAAGCCTGGAGGATGGAGTTAGGTCTGCAGTGTAAAAGCAGTAGCAGTGCAGTCTTTTTTTTAGGTATTTCTGAGGATTCTCTGTGTGTACTTGGATACCTTTTTTTTTTCTTTTCCTCTTGTTTGCATTAATACTTGCTTTTAATCAGTTTTTAATTTTTTAAGTCGGCAAAAAAGCATGAAATGCCCAGAATACCCAAGTCTGCCTGTTCTGTAATTTAGGAGCTTTCCTGCAGCGTTTCCTTCCATGTAGCATTCTGTTTCTTTTGCTAGAGCTTAATCTCTTTGATTAATGTTCTTCTGCTCATCTAAGCAACTCGCGCAGGACTTTGACTCCGTGGTAATAGGCAGGGTTTAAATGATCCTGTTATTGCAGCTTCCAGGCATCACTCCAGATCCACCGGTGCCCTCTACGCTCCTGATGCTTATGGGGCTGCAGGTGAAGGATGAGTACACGTTGTCTTGTGCAGTCATCCCGGATTTTTATTTTCCCACCCACTTGGTTATCCTCATAGCTCAGTTTTGAAAACCATCATTTGCATTAATTTGCATTTTGTGTTTTTAATAATCCAGGTAGCTGTATATATGTTTTAGATTTTCCCATATCCTCCATCTATTATTTCCTTTTGTAGCAATAATCACTTTATTTTTCCTTGCAGAAGGACTTTCTGTTTCTAGAAATTTTACATTTTTCGGCATTTGTAGAGCATTCTTTATGCATGTAGCTTTCTAATCAGAACTCCCAGTAGCCTTCCTGTTGTTTTTGTTTTCCTTCCAAATAAAAACCCAAAATGAAGAAGATACATTAACTGATGGATGCTGGCAAAAATAAATGACAATAGATTATTTGGTGAATGTCTTTGGTTTTTGCTTCGTTGATGTTTTTGCTGCACTACTAAAGACTTCAGAATAAAAATTTCTGGTAGTTACCTACTGTTCTTCTGCTTGGGTTTTTTAAGCTAAAGTGAGATCAATCTCCTACGTTACTCTTCTGACTTATTTTGTATATATTCATTTTTATTGTTGTACTAGGTGCAGGCTTTGGAATCAGTCAGTCGAGCAGACTCTCGTCGTCCGTTAGCGCAATGCGAGTCCTCAACACAGGTTCTGATGTGGAAGAAGCAGTAGCAGATGCTTTGGTAAGAAATTTGTCTTCCTTTCACGTAGGATACCAACTTGAAATGTTTGCCATCTATCAAAATATGCAGAAGCATTTGTCATTCATTACTGGCTTCCAGCTGAGGGGAAAAAGAGCAACTAAATTACTGCTGCGCAATATTGAAATTCATTTCGTAGGGGAATTCTAAATTTTGGGGAATGGATGTTGTCCATGGCAGGCAGGACACAGGCTTRGGCTGATCTGCTGCTGGGGCTCCAGGAGCCACCTGAGCAGGTAGCAGCCACCTGCATTTTCCCAGAGCAGCAGCAGCCAGACTCAGCTCTGGATGGCAGGAAGTGGTGGGCAGGCTTCCCAGAGCTGCGAACCGGGAGAGCTCTGGGATCTCTTCTGTCCAACCACATGTGAAGGTGATGCTGAGCAAGTAAGCCAGTGGGCTGGCAGTGCCCTCTGCTTGTTTTTGAGGATTTTTTTGTTTTCACATTCCTAACCTTATACTTCCTTGGAAGGGTTTTCTTGGCTTCTCCTTCTCTGTGCTCTAGTTAGTGCAGCTGAAAGTTAGTGCATACTTTAGACATCTTCTGAATCTGACCTTTTCATAATCAAGCTGGAATATTTGATTAATTTGAAGAGATGATATTGCGAGTTTTCTAAATTTTTATTATTTTTATAATCTAATATTTGTATATCATCGTGTATTGGCAAGTACCTGTTACCTAGAATTTGTTGTTAATATTACAACAAAACGATTGCTTGGCACACTAGCAACAAATCTACAAATTAGACTTTAAGAAACTTAAGAATAAGTAGATATGACTGAGTTAAGGAAAAAGACTGTGGAGAAGTCAGCCGTGTTCCTAAAGTCTGGCACTTGATTGGCTTCCTGGTTAGTACTGGCTTGGCACATTATTTAAATATTTGCCTGCCTCCGTGGGCATAGAGATGATGACATCAGGAAATCCTGCCTCACAGCTCGTGGGATGGCTGACCAGTTTTTAACTTTCTGTAATTGTGAATATCTGAAAAACTTTCAGCAGAGATCTGGAACACTACTTAGTAAACTGGAACCCAGTCTGTATTACTATTATTATTATTATTATTAATTGCATTCTGATACGGTAGAGCACAAAAGCAGTCAGGTCACGAGTCGTCTGCAGGTGGTATTTTGAATACTTCTGTGATAGATTTATCTACATTCCTATTAGACAAAGACTTTAGCTTGTCATACTCCTATTCAGCTTGCTTCCTCAATATAAATACAGAAATTGAGAAATTCATGTTTCCAGGGACTCTTCTTGAAACTTGAATGTGCCCTACTTTGTTGAAGCAATTAAGTAAATTCATAGGAGCTTATTTGTATTAATGTTTATAAAGGCATCATGCTTTTTTACACTCAGAGAAAATTTGTGTGTATTTGAACTGAAATCTATTATAATAAAAAATGTTATCAAGAAAAAAATTAGTGGTGTAATATTAACTTACCTGGTTGCCTTCTGTGCTCTAATGTATATAGATTATCCTTACAGAAGGCTCCTTCCAGCTGGAAATCTGGCTATGGAAGCCCTTTTTTGTTGTACCTAGACTGGGGTACAACAGTCAGTGGGTTTTTTTTTGTTGTTTTTTTTTTTTTTTTTTTTTAAATTAAAATGTAGAGTCCTAGCTCATATGAACTAATAATTAGAAATATTTTGGATTTCATTGCCTTTTTTATGGTGTTCAGGTAGTACCCCTCAAGCCAGAGGGTCAGCCTTACGCAGCCTCACGGCTTGTTTACGTACATGACACCTGAAAGACAACAGCATCGAGGTCTTGTCGTTTTTATGCCTATTGCTCTGATGCAACCTGTAAATAAAAGTCCACAATATGAGCTTTCCAGCTATCCTTGAAATTTCACATTTTTCTTCTTTTGTTTTTATAAATCTTTCTATGCTGACTTTTTTAAATTAAATTTTTTAATTAAAAAAAAAACTTCGTATGTTTTGGATTTTTATCCCTGCCTTTATCCCCTTACATGTGTGCATGTATGTATACTGTTGAGTAGAAGTTACTGGCTACATGTTGTATTGAAGAGTTATCTGTTGAGGGATCCTTAATTTTGCAGTGACAAAATTTAGGGGTTTTTAGGTGCCAAAATGAACCTACATAGAAAGAGATGAAGAAGTTGCTGGAAAAGAAACATTTACCGTTTATCTGTTTAGGTAGCAATTGCTGCATGTGTTAGAACTTGGAGCCCAAGTAAACTGCGTAAAACCAAAGGTTTTGACAGAGGTTTCTTTGGTGAAGAACTAGTAGAAGATACAGAAGATAACATGTAATAATTCTCTGGAAATGCTAATTTTGAGACTTTGTGTGGGCAAGGCCCACAAACGCTGATTTGTCTATGGGGTGCTGAGAGCCAAGAACAGAATTTAGTGTGAGGTGGCATGTTTTCCAGTGGCAGGTAATATGATAGTCACAGTACTGCTCTGCCTTACCTCCCTGTTCTCAATTTCTCTGTTTCTCTTTAATAATTTACTGCTATCAGCTCTTAGGAGACATACGGACCAAGGTATAGAAACCATTTTCTTTCTTCAGTTGTTTAATATTTTACTGATAACATTTGGTACATAAGTTAAAATGGTAGAATGTGTAAATTTTAGAGCTTTGCCTTACGTTCCATAATAAGCATAAAGTTAAATGAAGTAACTGTCATTTAATACAGTTCTTGTCATCCTACCTCATGCAACTTTATGGATTTTATGAGTGGAATGTTTAGATCAAGGTCTATCTTCTCTGCATGCAGTTTGCTTTTATAGTTGGAATCCTCATTTTTCATTAACTTGCTTTGACCTGCTGAACAGTCGGAGCCATTTGAAAGGAGTAGGGATCACGCTGATTATGGGAGGTTTGGGTCCTTGTACTGATGCCAGATATCATCACACGTATATCTGTAAGTGGTGCCTAATGTGGGGTGTCTGTGTACGACAGAAGAAGCCCGTGCGCAGGCGCTACGAGTCCTACGGGATGTACTCGGACGATGATGCCAACAGCGACGCGTCGAGTGCCTGCTCGGAGAGGTCCTACAGCTCGCGCAACGGGAGCATCCCGACCTACATGCGGCAGACGGAGGACGTGGCAGAGGTGCTGAACCGCTGCGCGAGCTCCAACTGGTCTGAGCGAAAAGAAGGTCTGCTAGGGCTGCAAAATTTATTGAAAAATCAGAGGACTTTAAGGTAAGAAACTGCGTTGTTAGATTGATTGCTTCGTGACTGAAGGAAAACGAGGAAGGTAGGAAGGAGGTTCTAAAGATGGTGGGAGAATGGCAAGAGGGAAGATGGGATATATGTCTAGAAGAGTAACCATGGGGAAGGATTGAAGAAACTAGCCTCCATTCTGAACTCTCATGTATAGGAGATGTTTAAAAAGCTCAGTTTAACAAATGGATTTTAAGATCAGATTATCTTAAAATAAGAAAAAATATCCCAATTTGTATAGACAATGTGGTTGCTTACAGTGGTGATGAGGAGGCTTTACTGAGTAAGATATTTATTCAGAGGAAGAATAAAAGTCGTTTCTAAAAGACTTTTTTTCTTAGACATTTCTAAAAGTAGAGTAGATGTTGAAAAAGACATCTAGGTAGTTAATGGAAATTAAAAAGGAGCATTGCCCTCGTTCAATATATGAATTAAGGACACGTATCCAGGTTTAAACTCATATTTAAACATCATTGTATTTTTTTTTGTACTTGCCTTAGACAAAATTATTTTTAAAACATTATTTCCTGGATTATTTGGATTCAGTACTTGGAGTTGATGTTACTTATTGCTGTGCATTAGTGTGTTCAGAGTAGTACCAGCTGAAATGACTAACGTCTTGTTATCGCTTTGACAGTCGTGTTGAATTGAAAAGGTTGTGTGAAATCTTCACAAGGATGTTTGCTGATCCTCACAGTAAGGTATGTTTAGGTTCTGCTCACTTGGAGTAAACATGGAAAACATACATGAATAATCAAATGCCAGCACTATTTGCACATAGATCTGTAAGTTCCAGACTGTTTTTTACTTAGACAGTTAATGGTATGAATGATAAACGATTTTAAAGAAGTGATTTTGCACCTTCTTGCAATTTATTGAAGTGAATGGAAGGATAAAGTAGTGTTATGGTGTCAGTGTTACAAATTATTAGATTTTTTTTTTTCTTTTAAGCTGTCGTGCTTATACAGATTGTGTCAGCCTGACTAATGATTTTCACTGAATGAGAAATAAAAAACCTTAGCAGAACTCTTTAAATTATAAAGAAAGTGTTATGAGTAAATAGTGTGTAATGAGTCTGAGGAACTGTAGCAAGTATGTATTTCTTTATTTCCCAGAGTATCTATCTTATATTGCATATTGAAGATACTTTCCTTAAGTTTCATATATAAGCCTGGCAGTCGAGACTATAGAATAGTCTTTACACCATTGTTAATCTTCATAAAGTAAAATGGAGAGTTTGTCACTGTCAGTAATAAAAGGAAACGTGCTATTTTATTCCCTTTCCCGTGGTAAGCCCCAAGCATGGATGATAACCACAGAAATAATTGTCTTGTTTTCTAATCTTTTTTTTAACTGAGTTACCATTTCTTGGTTGTATTTTTAAAACTTTGGCGGGAGGCACACTGCTACTGCAACTTCATATGTGTATATATTATTTATTGCCATAATTTCTGCTAGCAGAAGAACTGCAGGTAAATATGGAACCAAAGTTATCCTGATATTATGGGCAGCTTAATTTAGTTCAAATTGCAGGCGAATTTGGAAGAAACCTCATGTTTGTTTTACGTCTAAAACACAACTTCTTTCACTCCGCGTTTCAGAGTGTGAAAGCAGTCATCCAGAGCAAAGCTGTATCACAACTACTGGCTTTTCCGAACAGAATTCTCAAGAGTGGCTTTAATTATGTGCAGTGTTACACATGTTTAATCTTCTTTACTGCTCCAATGGAAAACTGAACTCAGTGATACCAAGTCCTGACAGGTTAACGTAGTGATGTTCTGCCATCATTTTTTCCTGTGAGGAAAAGTGACCTAGCTATCTGTGACACAGCTTATTTTGAAAGAGATTTGTATTTTACACAGCAAAATGATCCTAAATTCGTTCACAGACTTCAAAATTCACAGAATTCAAAAAGACAAAGGGCAGTGATGAAAAATGAAAGACAACTTGCTGTAGGAAGATGGAACATTTAAGCCAGAAGAGGGAAGAGAATATTAAATATTGGAATATTATCATTTTCCATATCAAGTATTGACAAAATCATAATAGCAGTTTTGCTTAATTTTGTTTATTCTTCCATTGATTAATGCACTGCTCATGTCATCAGTCCTGCCCTTGGAGATCCCTGTGTTTTGTGGGAGGAGGCACTCAGTGAAACCGTTCCAAATTTTGCCACGTCACAGGAGGGTTTTAGATTTTCATTAATCATTTATAAATGTTATATTGAATTACTACATTCCATTTGATAATCTTTTTGCTTATGAGCATTTTTGAGATAAGTTTATGTCACTTTGAATTCTAGTATTTGGCATCTGTTACATGGGAACAGTATTGTTAGCACCATTTCCAGTCATGGAAAGCATGGCTCCTTTTTGGTATTGCCAAATTATTGCTATTTCCTCAACTAAAGTTGATAAGCCGTGATTTTATTTATTCTCCTCATGTTTCTATATGGTTGCACAAATCTCATATTAATCCCCCACCCCGCAAGGTATCTGTAGGACCGTTCTTTTAAAGGTCTTGTGTTAACATGGTAGGTGGATGTAGAGAGTTAACTTGAAGGATAGACTAAATGTAATTTGGAGAGGAGCACGGGAAAACAATTTAAAGGCAGTGCCGAGCACTTTAAAAATAGTTTGGGTATCCCAATAAGATAACTAAATTTGTTCCAAGAGCCTTGAAATACCTTTTTTGTTTTGTTTTATTTTGTCTTCCATACAGGAACTTTGTATCGATGGCCACTAATTTGTGTGTTTTTATCTTTTTCCCTCTTTTCTTTTGTTTCTTTTTTGTTTTGTTTTGTTTCTTTGTTTGTTTCTTTGTTTCCTTGGGTTTCTTGCATGCCGTCCCCTGTGTTGGAACTCTCTTTAGAGAGTAAGTTGGTTCAATATTTGTTGGAAGCCTAACCTTATTTGCATGTATGTGCAATTAACCCTTTTTCTCTATTTTTCTTCCCCCAAGAGTTCATGCAGTGTCAAGCCTTTTGCAATCGTATAATGCTCTATACAATTATGTAAACTGTGTGGTAAAGTTTTGAGATGTGCTTTATCTACTAATTGAACTGACGTTCTTTGGTTATGCGTTCCTGCTTTATATTGTGGTGGTTGGCACATCTGAAATAGTTGACTTAAGAGGTAGAGCAGTTATTAATTATTTTCCTGTTCATTTTTCCACTATCAAATCATTAAAAATTTCAAGTTTAACAGCTTGATTTCAGAATTCTAAGTTTCATCATAAAACTGAAAACTACAAAAACTGCAGTACCCACATACATTGTTCAGATTAAAGGAGATCAAGTTCCATTTTTCCATTCCAAATTCATCCTTTACGTTGATGCTTTTAGAGCTTTCTTATATTTTTCATTGCTTGGGCTTGGACAAAGATATGACTTGAAAGAAAAAAGGAACACGCATGTTAATCTTCATCCAGACACTCAGTGTGARGGAGCTAAGATCAAAAGAATGCAGAAACAAATATTCAGTAATGAGTTATTAAGGCGGTTTTGATCAGGTTAAAGGTTTGCATCATTTTTAACAGCTTGAACTAGCACAGGTTCTTTGAAGCACTTTTGCCATAGTGATTCATAATTCAAGGATTTTCATTTAAACTACTTTCTGTGYTTAAATCATCAGAAGGCCTACGCCTCATTCCATCAAATATAATGTGACCAGGTTGTTCAGCTTGCCACTTTTAAATAAAAAGTGTTGTGCATCGAAGTGCCTGCAGACTAAAAGAAACAGGCAGTGTCTGTAAAGGTACTCACAGGAATAATTCAAGTTCCTATCCGTTCAAGAAGTCTCACTTCTAGTTGTAAGATCTGTAGTGTAGCTTTCAGTACCAGATTTTCTGCTTTTGTTTTTTGTTTGAATTCAGTGTGGTTTTTTCCCCCATGTTTTAGGCCTTGATAGGCTTAAAAGCCCGAAAGCAATCCTTTTGGAATACAGAAAGCTGGTTTTGTTTGGGTTTGCTTAGGGCCTGTAATTGTACCCACTGCTTCTTCATCCACCAAGTGATGCATTTTTTTTGGTTTAGTCAAATACAGAAGCCGTTTGCATGCTGGCATGAAAGTTGCTTCCACTATTCATAGAATCATAGAATCACAGAATGCCSAAGGTTRGAAGGGACCTCAGAGGTCATCGAGTCCAACCCCCCTGCTCACGCAGGGTCACCTAGAGCACGTGGCACAGGGCTGCATCCAAGCGGGTTTTAAAGATCTCCAAAGAAGGAGGCTCCACAACCTCTCTGGGCAGCCTGTTCCAGTGCTTTGTCACCCGCACAGTGAAGAAATGCTTCCTTAAGCTCCTGTGGAACTTCCGATGCTTCAGTTTGAAGCCATTTCCTCTAGTCCTATCACTGTCCACCACTGAAAAGAGGCCGCCCTCTTGGGAAGGGCGATGTTGTTATTGGGAAGGGCGATGTTGTTACCACCTCAGGTTACAACTAAAATCAGAAATATAGCTGTGGAAGTATATATATATATATGTGTGTGTGTGTGTGTGTATATATATATGTATATGTATATATTTAACTATCATCAGTTTAGTTTGCTCCTAAAGATAGACATGTAAAGTAGTTTACCTTGATGGGCTTTATGTTAAGTAGGACTTGTTTTCTTCTGTGTTTTTAAAACAGTTTTTCAGTGTTGAGAGCTCCTGTGAAAAGGTTCTCTGGTATTTTGAGAATCTCAATTTACTTTCTGATTTTAATGAAAATTGATGAAGCACTTTTTAAGCCAACTGTACAAATTTTTTTCACTTCATGATGTGAATTTCCTGCCTTGGCTTGACGGTGGAGGTGAGGAGTTGGAGGTGTCGTTTCCTCAGCCCTGGCAGCAGGATGCCCTTCCTGCAGGGTGGGCGCTCCGGAGTAAAGGCCTCCCCTGCAGGCCGGTCCCTGCAGCCCTGCTAGGTGTCATCACAGGTGGGGATCATCCGGCAGGGACAGCAGCAGAACTTGGCCCTGAGGCAAGTTACCTGCAGGAGGATACGGATCCAGCCCTTCCCCAGCAGAAGCTGTTCCCTGCTTGGTACCTGTACCACCTGTACCTGTGCTCGAGAGGCCCTGTGTTCCCAGCCTTCTTTCACTTGTAACAGCAGGTCCTTCTGTGTCCAGCTGTTTGCTGGAGGAAACTGGACTTTAAGGCAGCATTTTTAGCCCAGACGTCCACATCCCTTTCCCAGGAGAGAGGAATGCCATGCTGACACAGGGCATACACTTTGATTTCACCCAAAGCCTTTAAAATTGTAAAATTAGAGATAGTTAAAAAACAAGAAACGAAACAAAACAAACAAAAAGCCCACTCTTTACTTACTGGTTGATGCTACCCATTTATTATGCCCTTCCCTCCAAAAAGCTTCCTAATTTTAGAGCTGAGATGACTATAAACAATGGCCTTTGTGTTTGAATACCTGCAGTAGCAGGAGAATCCCGTTCCGTTTCACAAATATTTTATGGAAAGGAACTGGTTGTGCTTCTTTGATCTTGCAGTAATTAGTAATGCAGATATTTACAGTGAATGCAGACATTTACAGTGAATGCTAAAGCACTGAAGTAACTCAGTTTTAAAGAAAGTGTTTTTGAAGTCTTTGTGGGATATGTAAAATTGACTTAACACTAAAGCTTGAGAGAGTAAGAAATTCAGTTTTACTGGAAAAAAAATTGAGGTTGCGCCAGCCATCACAGTAAGCATTTCTTTTCTGGACGATACTGCATGGAAAACCTAATTGTCAAACTTCTACAGAAATCAGCTAACGTTTCCAATATACTCTCGTATCAGAGTCCAATGAAAAAGCAAGAYAGATTTTCTTTTTTTTTTCCCTCCCTGCTTGGCTGCAAAGCACTGCCTATCTCTGCCTCTGATTCCCTTGCTGCTTTCTTTGTTCGTAAAAAGCACACGTTGATGTCGCTTCCTCCTTTGCCCCATCCTACCCTCTTTGCATCTTCTTTTGCCTTGTAGGTGTTCAGCATGTTCCTGGAGACGCTCGTGGACTTCATCCAGGTCCATAAGGAAGATCTGCAGGACTGGCTGTTTGTGTTGCTGACACAGCTGCTGAAAAAAATGGGGGCTGATTTACTTGGCTCTGTGCAGGCAAAAGTTCAGAAGGCACTTGATGTCACAAGGTAATGGGTATTTTGGTTTGGGTTTTGGGGGTTTCTTGTTGATTTGTGTTTGTTTGTTAAGTAATAATTCCAAGCACCTTTATTTAGTGTGTTGAGAGATTCTTGCAACAATAAAGAGCTTATGGCAGGTAGTGAAGCTTGAGCAAGCTGCGCTCCTTAAGTGTCTTTTATTACAAAGGGTTTGGACCTTTAATAATGAAAAAAATACATGATACTAGTTTTCTGATGTGAAAATAGGCATCTGAGCTTCATATGCTTAGTGCCTAACCTTGTTTTTAGCAATACAGTAGTTTCAATTTTTTTGTGTGTGTGATTTTTGATATCAGTTTTGTTACAATATTCATCTCTTAAAAAGTCAGACAGGTTTTAAAGGAGTAAGGTGGCAATATAGGATTTGCCTCTGCTCTTTTCTCCACCTTGCCTGCTTTACTAATCTCCTAATCCCCAAAATGATCTGCAGTCACAGAGCTGAGCCAAATCCTGGCCAACTTCACTCCCAAGTGAAAGCCAATTTTGCTAGTAGAAAGGGAGGTGCTCCGGGACCTACTTCTCATCCTCCATTCTCCAATATACGGGACAATTTACCCMTTCGAGGCCTCGCTTGCAGCAGGTCTGCTGTGAAATGTGGGGAAGGGCTGGATTTGAGTGGGGAGAGGGAATATCAGCTGCATCTCCTTTTCCTAGTCTGCTGCAGAGAAGGCCCTAATGCTAATATTTTGAGTGTGAAATGAGGAAGGGAAAAGGCAGATAAACAATGTCGCATGGTAGCAGAGACATGGGTAGTGGTTTATATACTTTAGGTTTACTCCTGCATAATAATTTTTGAATTGTTGGAATTCTAGGCACTTAGAGTAATATCATATCAGTGCTATACCATCTGTTTTTTTAGTTTTTATTCTAGCTATAATTTGTTGAAACCAGTGTTTTTAAAACAAAACTGCCTACTAGATCCATGTTTCTGAAAATAAAAACCAACAAAATTTAGATGTACTATTTTTCTTCTAGAAGTGATAAAGTGTGTTTGGGAAGAAGAGAGGAAAAAAAAGTGTGTTTATTTCATGTCTCCAAATAGAAAGCAGAAGAAAATCTCCTGTAACTGACACAATTTGCCTACTTCCTTTATTTCACAGGGAATCTTTTCCAAACGATCTTCAGTTCAGTATTTTAATGAGATTTACTGTTGATCAGACTCAGACACCTAGCCTGAAGGTAAGAATTTTCAGGATCACACTGCAAAGGCATCATTGATAAACGTTTTCTGATCTTAATATTTGAATTTGGATTGCTTTTCTATTAAGAAAGGTTTTCAATTAGTGGATTTTGTTTTTGTAAACTTGCAGACAGTCAAGCCAGCCCTACAGGACCAGCTTCGCTCTTTTTGGAGCTCCAAGGTTTTTGTCTGAATTATTGTCTTTATTCTTAACCCTATGTCAAACTTCTACAGTTCTTCCAATAATTTTTATTTGAATGCATTCGTATGCTGGTACTAACCTCTGCAAGAAACTCGAAGCATGCAAACGTTGAGTTTTAAATGTTACACTATTATGAGACTGTTGGCTGCGAGAGCAAGCTAATAAAACCAAAGTACAGTACAAATGAGCAACAAAAATACGGCCGCCTAACATCAAGCTGGTTATGCAAACTTACTCTATCAAGTCTCTTCTAATTTTATGTTTGTGATTTCCCAATCCCATTTTCCTAGTTTGTGGGTAATTTTTCCCATGCTTTTAGCCTGATAGGTTTTGAATTAACTTAAATGAAACTAGCATTAATATGAACCTAAGGTGTTAATTTAAAATAAGCTCCCGTTGTGATACCTTGACTTTTCTGAAAACTGTCTGTGGCTATATGTGTATACACATTTTTACATGATAAAAATCATTAGGCCACAGATCTGCCACCACAACTGAAAAAAAACCTGAATTCTGTAGTATCTTTACAATTCCAAAAAGATTGGATTTTAGTGTAAATGAAGCAAATTCTAAGAAGATTTTCAAGTGAAATAAATGGGGAAATAACAAGCATATGGTAACTGGTGTTTTCTGCTCTATCCTGCACGAAATATTTTTACATAGTTTTATCCTGCACATGAATATGACTTTTCCCAGATGATGTTTTGAACCTAAAGTCACATGAATGTGCCTTTTCTTTTGTCTACAATACAGTAAAACTTATGTTTTAAGCTTTTGAGGACAGTTGATACGTTGACCAGTGTTGCCTCGTAGAGCTGTGTTAAAAGGGGACTGCTGTCATTTATTGAAGACAGTAAATGAGGTAGTAAAAATTAGCTTGTTGTTTAAATAAATGCTTGGAACGAATTTGGCTTAGTTCTGTTTTGTTTGGTGTCCCTCCTTAGAAAGGTGAATTTGATGGTTGAGACATTCTTTGTTTCCAGCATAATGCTATTGTTGCTAAACACTCCTTGGTCTTGTTTTGAAGTTGAGAATACTGATTTGAAAGGACACATGGACTCCTATTAGGCTGAGYATGGAGTCGAGGTCAAGAATATTCAGCTTGTGACACAGAAAAAATTAAGAAATCTGATAACTGATGAGAATATACTCTGGAAATTATTTCCAGCGTTTGAAAGAAAAAATATTGTTTGTAAAATGCACCTTCTTGAAAGAACAGCTCATAGTTGGAAGTAAAACCAGGAWCATTTTGGAACAGTAAAGTAAGTTGCTATTTGACAGAAGACAATCTTTTTTCAAAAAATTACTGTCTACCCGCTACCTGTGTCTTTGCCAAGCACCCGTGGCTGGTGGATGCATGTAGTCAAGTTATGGAAAGTAAGTTGCCAAAATATATCTTTAGGATCCTTACCCTTGAATGTTTTGTCCTAAATCTCATCCTCAGGGCCCTCTGATAACCAGCAGGTTAAGAAGATCATTGTAGGAGATGCACTGTGCCATTTCACGAATCCTTCAGCTCTTGTTCCTAATAAAAGATTCTTCTGGCGCAGTGTGTGTTTTGGGGCTAGATCTGCTGGGAAACAGTGCTCCCTCTCCGATAGAAAAAAGAAAGGATTTACATCATCTTTAGATACGGTCAGATGTTGGAAATGATAGTTGATCTAGAAATGTACTTCCAGGGAAGAACTGCCCTTTTCCAGTGCTTCTCATGTGCTAGTGGTGCATAAGCATGACCCTTTGGAGTAAGTGGTAGTTTTAGCTGTTGTGTTTACACACACACACAACTATAAGTCTTGAAGAGTAAAAGTGAAGCTGCTGGGTTCAGAGGTGCTTCCACAGAGGTGGATTCACACAACCGGCTGCTAAGGGAATTACTCAGGGAAGGTGGCTTCTGCTGAACCCATCCATGGGGGAGGATGGCCCTTCCAAATAGCTGAAACCTAGGAGTTTGGACAGGCAAGTGTGGAGATCTCTTTGTATGATTGTTCCTTTGGTCTGAGTAAGGGAGAGCAGGTACCTGGAGAGAGCCTCGTATCCCAGAAAAGCACCGTAAGAGATGAAGTTTTGACTCTTTTGTAAAGCAAGTTCTCTGCATTCTTCTTTCCTTGCCTTTTTTTCACCTGTTACTTGAGATACAGTGCAACAAATGAAACTCTGTAAACCTCAGCTTTTCTAGAACAAGAAAACCAAGTGTCTCTGGCACTGGCTGTAGTATCTATATAGCTTTTCCTGAAACTGGAGATGGAATTGTCCAGGATAATCTTGTGCTAGAACCATTGTCATCTCATTATCTTTGAAAGCTATCTGTGAAATGCTTTAGGTGTTTTTTTTTTTTTTTAATTTGAGTAATAGTGCTAATTTTAGTGAGCTGCATTTCAGTTCACTTAATATAGCAGTCCTGATATTAAGAACGCTACTTGTGTTACTACATGCTGTACAAGGAAGATGTTTAGTGGCTCAGTGTTCATAGTCCGAGGAAAACGCAATAAATCCGGCCTAAGGAGTATGAAGAAACATCATTGAGCTTGAGGAAACCTTATTCCCTAAGTGCTGAACTACTTTGTAGAAGGTGCTTTCACGTTAAGAGCAAGCACAATCATGCACAAGTTCTTGGAGTTGCATTCATGGCAGTCAGGAGTTTTCTTCATCTCATCTCGCAGTGAGATCAAATAGATCTCAAGTAGATCTTACTGAGAAGAAAGTTTCACTTAAGAAAGTACTGGGTTGTACTTTTTGTTTCTACAGCTCAACTRCTCGTCTGAAATAGTGTTAAGAAAGAGCATAGTAATTTTACTGCTATCACAGAATTTTTTATTTCTCTTYTAATCCATAATACTGCTTCATTTGAGAGAAGTCTCTGTCTTCCATTTAGCGGTCTTTTGTCTGCTGAGAGCTACCACGTTTGCAGAAGCCTGTATGAATTTACTTTGTGAGAATACTTTTAACATTGAATAATTCGGCTTTCTCAGATATGCTACATGATAATTTTTGCTTGTGAAATAAGCCTCTGGATATTTGAAATGTTGCTCTTGCTAGTAGTGGTATTTTTTTAAGGTATGTCGGTGAGTACCTTAAAAGTACTTACAGTGTTGACAGTGTTGTAACATTATACTAGATCATCTCTAGAGGTCCCTTCCAACCACAACCGTTCTGTGATTATTRGTATTATTATGTTACTACTGCTAGAACTACTCATACTCTACTAGTTGTACTACTGATGGTATAATACTACTAGTAGCAATASTAGTACTGATACTTATGGTAATGCTAGTACTAATAGTAATGCCTATAATAGTAATTATTACTAATAGTAATACTTAACAGTATGGTCAAAATGTGATGGCTAGTATGACATGGGGAAGGAAAAAATTACGCGGAAATATGAAAGAATTTGCAGAATATGAAAGAAGAAATAAGAAGGAAAGAAACATACAGAATTAATGGGTTATCAAGAAGTATTGCCTGTTTCTATGGTGTTTGGAAAAGCTTGCTAGCTTAAAGGGTTTTGCTGTTGTTTTTTCTGCTCTCTTCATTGAATGAAGAATCAAAAGATAGACCTTGAGCCGTTTAGTACCATATATATACGTCACTGCTGCCTTGTGTGCAACAAAAATCTCTAGCCATCGGTTGTCATATAACTAGAAAAAGTCAAGCTTTAACATGTGAAAATGAAGTACTATCCTACACATGTCAGCTACCTGTAATGTGTGTTACTGAGTGCATCTTGTTGAGTTTTAATGACTTGAAGGTTTTGATTACCAAGGAAAATACCCGAGTAGCTTTGGTGAGAGCAGTTGTGGTGCAAGCCTTGAACAGTTACATTCATCCAGAATATTCTTGCTTTTAGTCGATTCAGTTGTAGGGTCTCCCTGATGCGTGTTTCTGATTCAGTGTAGTTGTTAGGGGAMACAAAAACAGCTGGAAATTAAGCAAGTTATGTTTGGGTTGGTGATTTGTTGTTTATTTGGATTGCCTGACAGTTCTCTGGAATAGGAGCAGCTGCCGGGGGGATTGCTAAGGGGATAGGGACATAAGCAGCCCTCTGCTCGCCTGTGCAGTGATGCGGCTTGGAAGCTGGAGAAAGGCTGGGGCGTGGGATGTGTCAAACGGTCCTTTTGCAGAAGGATTGGTGCAAGCTTGTACAATATGAGCAGGATGTTTAGATGTGTGAGGAAGTAGAAGGTCTTTTGTCTCCTAGTAGATCTGTGACTCTCCTAAATATCTGCAGAGGATAAGTATGCGTATGACTCGTGTTAAGAAGTGTTTTAAAGAAATTCTGTCCAAACATTTTTAATATATTYGTTTGACTTATCCCCAAAGATACTCAATATAGAACTGTTTTCTGCCATTGAAGGGTGCTGAGTGTTAACTGTGTAGTATTTTAATAGGAAGTTTCTTCATCAGATGATGTTCATTTTCTGTTTTAGTACTTGAAAAAAAATCTCAACTCTAAAACAGTTTTTAAGCTATGAATATTTTTAAATATTATGAGTACTTTGTTTTTCTGCTTAGCTGTTTAGTATTAATTTCTGCATTCTCAATTATTTTTGTATCTTTAGTCACTACTAGTGAATATTAAAATGAGTTTGTGGGAAAACCTCCTTTTTTGAAAAATTACACTCATCTGCAAAGTGATGTACTGTTTAGAGTTTTAATACAGGTGCTGATAAGACCTTTCTTCCAGAAAGTTAGCTTTTTTATTTTCTAAAAGACTTTCTAGAAACATTTTAAGCTATTGGTGTAGTTAAAAATAAAAATGGCTTGGGTTCTCCATTCTAGGGAATGAGCATCCTATTTTGTGAGTGTACTTGTTCTTACAGGACCCCGTTTTTATTGTCCCTCTGACTCTGTTTCTCTTTGCAGGTCAAAGTCGCAATCCTTAAGTACATAGAGACTCTCGCACAGCAGATGGATCCAGGAGATTTTGTAAATTCAAGTGAAACCAGGTTAGCAGTGTCTCGAATCATCACCTGGACCACAGAACCGAAAAGCTCAGACGTTAGGAAGGTATGTTTGCTTGCTTACAATTGAAGCACATTCCAAGTATCTTTTCAACTTAAGCTGCTGGTGTTTCTTGGTTAAAAATGATCCTATTTTTCTTTAAAAAAAAAATCATAAGCRAGACATACTTTTTTTTTTATCCTTCTCAGCAAAAATATGCCTTTATGAAGGATCAAAATTGAGGAAGGTAAAATTCACTAAAAATAGTTATAATTCATACAATTTTGATGGAGATTTTCAAGATGTGTTTCATTTTACATTTATGCATTATTGTGTTGTCAGTAGGCATTTTCTATRCAGATTTAGTGTTATTTGCTGAGCAGCCTCTGTAATTGTAATAGCACGTTCATTACAAGAATAGTGAGTGTGGTAGCAAGCTTACAGCTCAGTCTTAGGCTTTTTTAGTCCTCTGTGTGCAATTAAAACATTGGATAACTGCTGACCTTTTGAGAAAAGAAAGAAAAAGGCAAGTTTGTGTTTTAATAATCAAATATATTAATACATGCTTATATATCTCAAAGAATTGTTCTGGTAATCATGCAGTTCCACAGAAAAGCTTATTTTTGTACAGACTTCTTGAAAAGTGAAAAGATCACTTTTGTGAGATATTCAAATATGCTAGGCATAAAGATGAACCATGAGAGGCACTAATGCAGACTTCAGAAAGGGATTATAAATAGTCGCTTCAAATACAGATAGCAAAAGGCTTAAAATTTTGTTTTCAGTTTGAAATAGTGGGTTTTGTTCTCATCTGGCCTGCTGAGGAGCTCCCGTTATTGACATATTGACACTTCATGAACATCAAAAGGATTTAGTCTCCCAAAGTACAAATATCCATAACAGAGAGGCTATGTTTTCATACTTTTTTCAGCTTTATTTCTGCAAAAGAGGCAGAACTGCTTATTATTATTATTATTATTATTATTATTATTATTATTATTATTATTCCTTTGCAACATCCCACTCAGCTGGAATTTGGTGACTTGATCATTTCTGAAAACAGTCATAGAAATGCCTTTCTTTAGGCAGGATGTTTTGTAGGAGAGAATTGACACAAATAGCTTAAGTTATCTCACAAAATAKTAATACAAAGAGAATAATATCACGTTATATCTTGAATGTTTCTCATCATTTGCTATAGGAAAGTTTATCCTAGGTGTTTTTCATTTCTAATAAAACTTAGGATTAGAGGAAAGCGCCAATGTGCTTATGGGCTTGTTTTGCCTAGTTGCCATATTCTAGTGACATATGCAACACCATAAAACAGGCAGGGAAATGAAGCAGCACTATCTTACAAATCAGAAAAGTTTTATTAGCAAGACACGTGGCAAGCTGGCTTATCTGATAGTTCATATCTCTAATAAACATTTTTATGTCAATAAGTAACTGAATCATGGAAAGAATTGCCACTGAGTTTTATCATCTGGAACACCTTAAGTATATGAAGTTTTCTTGTTTGATTTTTTTCTTTCCATAACAGACCAGATGGAAGTAGCTAAATACTAAAAGCCCTTAATACCCCTTGAAAACAAAAATTTACCAATGCGTAGTCARTGGTGTAATTCTGGTTATATAAACTCATGTATTATCCAGGAGGTTAGGAGATGTTATCACAAATGTTTTCTGCAAGCTTTTACATTTTAATAAGCATATGCTATTTTAGCATGATTTTTTTAGAAATTTAGAATTTATGCCAGCTGTATTTGTGTGCAAATGCTGTTTGCTTTGGTTAAGAATATCCAGCACTATAAGTTAGGCAAAGATGTTGTTTTTTAATCAGCCTTAAGCAGGGCCACCTTAGTTTAGTTCAGTAACAGGGGACTTCTTTCTGGAGGGTAAAAATTTGTGCTTTGGGACTTTAAGTGCAAAATCCCCATATAAATATTTTTAACTCTTAGTGCTGTAACCCTGTGACCAAACCTAAACCATAGTGTAGCTAACTGCAGAAAAGCTAGCTGATACTTAGGAACTGGGTTAAATTTTCTAGAGAGAGCGAGCTTATTTTGAAGCCAAATAATAATTTAAAAAAAAACTTAAAATATTTGTCCTGAAATATGTTAGAAAGAAAGCAGTTTCACATGGACTTTCATGAGTCAACTTCAATTTTAGTATGATAAATGAAACCTTRTTTTGGGGAGAGGTGATGGTATCACTGTTTTTTCTGATACAACTGTCTAGTGTGGACGTTTTGATTGCTTCTGTTTTTTTACAAGCAGTTTAAATAGGCAGGGTCTAATGGACTGGAGAGACAAGCAACAAGCAAGAAAAAGTGGTGACTTCCCAGCATTTTTCAGTTGTGGCTTTTGCTTTTCATCGATTTCTGATAGAAGACCGACCATAAGAAAAACCAAGGGCAAGGGGAACGTTGAAGGCAGGGACACAGAGGSCATTCAGGGTATTCACTTGAAGAGAAAAGACTTATCAGGGGGAGGAGGGCAGAAGCATTGGAGGGAACAGCCAACTGCTGCWGTGCAAAGCTGACTTGTGGCAATCAAACGTGTCAGTATTGAAGTTTAACGAAGAAAATACCAAGGCGTGTGCTGGTATGTGTGCTCATACCTTGGCTCTCAACTGCTAATTAAAAACTGCTACAGTTCATTGCTCTGGAAGCAAGAGGAGGGATATAAATGTCCAAAAGCATTTTCTAAACTACCTGCTGGGAGTGTTTTGGTCCTTAAACAAGCTGCCTGTCCTTCTCTGTAGTGTTAGGCGCTGGTTCTCTCCAGTGCGTGGCAGCCGTTGATGGTGAACGGCGCTCATGGAAACTGCACRTAGGGGCTTAATCTGGGCCTCAGAGTCTCGTACTAAAAAGAGACTATTGAACATTGCAGGACAACTTGATCTCTTGTTAGCCTTTCAAGTGGATATTTGTTAAAATTACAAGAATTTTAGAAAGTCAAATTTCAGGAACTCAGATTTCTTTGATAGAGAGCCCAACGGGAAGCCCACCATTGCTTATCTGACTGCTTTCCTTCTATCGGGAAAAATGTGTCGTTTTTCAGTCAGACCAAGAGAAAATATCGTAAAATGTGGTAACCTTAAAAATAAAGTATGAAAATTTGGGAGGAGGATGCAATCCAGTAGACTGTAAACTCTAATACTGAACAGTTTCCATTTTGAGAGTTMGTTAGTTACTTCCTCGTGTTTGCCTACCTTTAATAGATAAAGGAAGCTGTGGAAAAAAAAGTCCAACTAGATTGGCTGTAGGAGAAGTTATAAAGTGTATATATAAGTTCTGTAATGACAACTCAAAGATCATCACATTCCAGATTCAGATAYCTGGTTTTGGGGTTATTTATTTCAATTTCTGAAACGATACCAGCAGACCAGTTGAAGAGATACTGTTATCTGCCATCTTTCTTACCAGCTGCTAAAATCAGGAGAAGAAATTGCTGACTTGTTCCTGCTTTCTGTAYTCTCCTAGCCATGCAATTCATCTCTCTCTTACATAACTTTTTCCAACTTCCTAGCCCCTCCAAAAGTCATTTTGCTGCTTTCTTCAGTAGTTGAGTAAGTAAGCAGGACAAGGGGGAATTATAGAGTTTGAAGAGCACATTTGTGGAAGACTTTTGTTCACAGATTCCTTTTGTTCACATCTACTAACATCTTTATTCTTCAAACTGGAAAAATTATTTTGTCAGCCCTTGTGATTACCCTTCACAACAAAATCTCTTGCGAATTAAAAAATACTCCAGAAAGGCAAATTAATAACTTYAGTTGTTTCTCTTCCTGTAGGCTGCACAGTCAGTGCTGATTTCCCTTTTTGAACTCAATACACCAGAGTTTACAATGCTGTTAGGTGCTTTACCAAAAACATTTCAGGATGGAGCCACRAAACTTCTCCACAATCATCTGCGAAACACAGGCAACAGCAGTCAGGTATTTACACCTCAAATTATTCTTTCCATCGTTACTGTTTTGTTTGTTTGTTTGTTTTGCTTTGTTTTTCCCCAACATGACTATTTYGGTAGTTACTTGTGAGAGGGAGAAAATCGGGGGGAAAGGAGAGGTTCAATCCTAGATAAAACACTGTCTGAATAATAACAGATATCGCTCTTTGTAGAATTTCCTTCATCTATTTTTTCCTCCAAAGGCTGATTTTTTTTTCCCATGTATGCTGCTTCCAGGTAAAGTGACTTACTAAGTTTGTATGTGATATTTGAGTAGCTTATCTTGTACTTCTGTGATTAATAAGTTATACCTGATCGAAGTTACTGGTAACTACTTAGCCAGTCTTAGAGAGTAAATGGAACTTGTTTAATTTCTGGGCACTAGTGAATAAATACAATAAGAGGTTCGGTAGGAAGCTGAAGGTCCTACTAGAGTGTGTTTCCTTCTCCTCCAGGGACCCATGGGAAGTCCTTTGACAAGACCTACTCCACGCTCGCCAGCCAGTTGGTCGAGTCCCCTCACTTCCCCAACCAACACATCCCAGAACACTTTGTCACCAAGGTAGCGTAAGTCTGTGCTGTCATCTGCAGCATCTAGGGCTTCGTTAAGGGTTGCCCAGAGTTGCAACCCCAGCTATGAAGGAAGAGAGAGGAATTCAGAGAGAAGTGCCAGACACTGGGAAACTACCCGCTGCTGCCCAGAACGACGGCTTAGGCTCCCTGAAGGGTCTGGCGAAGGCAGCRCTAGCCAAGTCCTGTCGCTTTCTGTGTCACTGGCACTACACTTAAATGATAACAAGTTATACTGCACCTACTATGATACACCTTTATTATGTGGAGAACCAGCTCTCCTCGTGACCATGTTTAACAAAAAATAGTAATTCATTTAATATTTCCTGAGTCTGTCATTGCAAGTGAATGTTAATTAAAAACATGAAATCAAAACATGAGATTTATTATCAAAAATAAATCTTTTTTGATTCTACTGTTCTGTCCACTGCCCACAGTGCATTTGACTATGACACAGAAAACATGAATTCTGAAGATATTTACAGTTCTCTTCGTGGAGTCACTGAAGCCATTCAGAATTTCAGTTTTCGTAGTCAAGAAGATATGAATGAGCCTGTAAAACGAGATTCCAAAAAAGACGAYGGTGATTCGGTGAGTACTGAAGCTCAGTGCATCTTCATAACGGCAAGCGAAGGCCAAACCTGCATGTGTGGTGCTATTTGTTGGTTGTGTTTTTTGATGTATAAAGCACTGTTCTAACGAGGTTTCTGTCTTACAACTTCTGAAATGGGACATCTCTCCTAAGTAACTTCAGAGCTTTAGAAAAATAAATTTCTAGCCTTAGCATACTTTGGAAATGTAGATTTTAATAACAGGTAGTAGTAACATTTGGTTTATTTAAAATGCTGGCAGTTTAGAAATGGATTCTCTTGCAAATCAGCTGGGACTCTATTTTCCTTTCTTCCTTTCCTTACTATATATCTTTCTYAAGTCTTCTGTATCATTGCATCCAAAACCTACAGGATTTTTGATGCTACATGTGTTATGTTAAACTTCTGTGTCTGTGGAACTTGGACTTGTAGGTGTGGTGAGCTCAGACATGGTTTTGATTAATTTGCATCAAACTTCTAAGGTAAAATATTGAGTATTATTAAGTGCCAGGGAAGTGCTGCTGAGGTTTTTCACCTGAAGAGGGAACTTGAAAAAGTGATTTAGGAATATTAGGAAGCGCTTTGAAACTTGTAAGCTGTTGCTGTGTAAATGAAATGGAGATGGAATGAACTGAAATTGCAGTGTGTTCTTAAATGCTTCTATGATGTTTCTTTTCCTGCAGATTTGCAGTGCATCTGGAATAGTGGACCTGCGAGCGGGAGGTGGTGTAGGTGATACAGGCCGGACAGCTCTCGACAACAAAACCTCCCTACTGAACACAATGCCTCCCCACTCCTCRCCACGTTCCCGAGATTACAATCCATACAACTATTCAGATAGTATAAGTTCATTTAATAAATCCGCTTTGAAGGAAGCGATGTTTGATGATGATGCAGAGCAGTTCCCTGATGGTAAGCTGCAGATCCCATCCTTGGCTAGAGGGAGCATGGTGAGGGCTTTCTTTCATATTTTAGCTCAGTCTCTGAACTCATGATTAGTTGTATATATAAAAGCTTTGGAAAGAGGTAGCACARATGTCACAAATAACATACCACAAATCAATCCTGGTGAGTGACATGGCTGGATTAGGTCTGAGAAGAGCCTTAATCTGCTCTGCTAGTGCTCTGGAGTCACTAGCCTTCCTAGAGTGAGTGGCAGCACTAGAAAAGGTAAAGCAAAGTAGGATTGCAGGAGAGCCTTCCAGCATTAGTTTCCTAGCTGAGCTGTTGAAGTGCAAACACGAGTCCTATTTGTACTGGACTCCCAGCCWTCCTTTTGACTGTTACTGGCAGGAAGACTTGGAAATTCAGGGCTAGATGGAAACACTGTAGCGGCTTATTTAGTCCAGCCAGAAACACTTAGGTATGAAAATACGATATGTGGACATTTRTCTAATGGTTGAAAATCTTCAGTAGAAATGCCACAGCATACCTGTAATGGCCATTTTAGTATTTTGCCTCACTTAACAATAAAATGATTTTCATAGTTGCAGCCTAAATATATGTATTTTTCCCCCCGGTGGAGATGCCCTTTATCTGAAGAATAATTTTTCCCTGCTTGAGCAGGGAGGTTGGACTAGATGATCTCTAGAGGTCCCTTCCAACCTCAGCCATTCTGTGAATAAGGGAAAAGGCCTTTTTATGTTGCTTTTCAGGTTTCTTGAAAGCAGTTTTAAGATTATGGCTTAAGATTTCTGCCTCTGTATCTTGCCTTATTCTTGTCATTATAGACTTTTTTTTTCCCCAGCTACTTTCATTATTTCTCTGACTTAACCAAGACTCTTTGAGCTCTCACCCTCTTTTGCAGAACATTTGCARCTCCTCTTACATTGATTTCATTGACATATTCTATATATGCTCTCCATGTTCTGTCATTAACAAAAGCATTAAACACAACCAGGACAAACCCAGGACAGTCCCAAGCAGCGACAGCCCGAGATTAGCTTTATCTTCCGAGATTAACAGAAAGCTCTAAGATACGTGGCAATAAAAGGAAAGAACTTGTTCCTTTAGAATAGGCTGTCCATTCTGCTCCTCTGCACGTCTGCCACATAACACAGCTGYAGAATGCAGTATCACTCAGTCCTTTGGGCAAACATTAATGATCCATTTAGAGAGCATACCTTAATAGGCAGTAAAAGTGCTTGTAGAAAAAAAATGTTTCTACTTTCAGGTGTTTATTCATCCAAAACAGAATGCTAATAGAAACAATGGATATAAAAACAGTATTTTTTTTTGTCAAAGATACTTGCTGTGTTGTATGTGTTTTCCAGAGATAGTAGAAGTTTATGAGTTAAGCTTTTATTAGTTTTTTGCTGTATCATAACATTTCTAATTTACAGTATTGAATATAATAATAATGTTCAAAGGCTGTGGTTTCTCAGTATATGGTCTCATAAAATTATTCTGGAAAATATATTTCTTGTATATCAGTAACAGGAAATCATTTTGGGAAAGGATACAGATCTGGGAACATTTGAGTTTTTATTATTACTACTTACCCTTCAAAATATTTTTTTTTTGTCAAAAATTTCAAACTTCTTCATTTGCATTTCTGTTAATTTATCCAAAAGTCTCAGTGCCAAGGTGGAAGCTATATGTTTTTATTTAAGACTGGTGGGGTCTAGGTGATGGAATTAAAARAAAAGAAAAAAAATCTAGAGTTGTCCTGTAATGACTCTTACCAGGATACGTTCTGGGCAGAGTAATGCTCAGAGTGATGCTCAGTGTGGTTCTAGGCTCCTCAGTACAAGAGGGACATGGAGCTTCTGGAGAGGGTCCAGCATAGAGCAACAAAGAGGATTAAGGAACTGGAGCATCTGTCCTGTGAGGAAAGACTAAGTGACCTAGGCCTGTTTAGCCTGGAGAAGATTGAGAGGGGGATCTGATCAATATGTATAAGTACCTGAGGGGMGAATGTAGGGAGGAAGGGGCCAAGCTCTTCTCAGTGGTGGCCAGTGATAGGACAGGGGGCAATGGGTGTAAGTTGAAACACAGGCAGTTCCATCTCCAGGTGAGGAGGAACTTCTTTCCTGTGAGGAGGACAGAGCCCTGGCACAGGCTGCCCAGGGAGATTATGGAGTCTCCTTCTCTGGAGGTCTACAAACCCACCTGGATGCCGCCCTGTGCCCCGTGCGCCGGGTGTCCCTGCTGGAGCAGGGGCAGGTTGGACTAGATGATCTCTAGAGGTCTATTCCAACCTGAACCRTTCTGTGATTTGTTCTGGAGAAGGGCCTAACTGGCTTGGCTTTGCTTTTACTTCTGCTGTTTTATTCCAGAGAAAATTCTTCAGACACTTAGCACTTGTGTGTTAGAAGTCCAGATACTGCTGTGAAAACATGGCTTAAAAGGTTCTAAGCAAGTCTGTCAYAGGGGAGAAAACACAAATGTCTCTTCTTGGATTTTCGAGTTACATACTTTAGGTATAGGTCAGACTTAAAAGGATTCAGAGAACTTACCAGCTTTTGAGTATTGCGGGACRTTGAAATCATTTTATCTTCTTTTTTGTCTACCTTTTTTTTTGGTGATAGTAAGACTATTCAGGAATGTCGACTGCACTGAAAATATATTAGTCAAGTAGTAATTTTCTAAGACAAATCTGGGGAAAATTAAAGGCAGGTAAATTTTAAGACCAGCCATCCTAGAAAGTATCTTGAGTTATACAGAAGATATTCATTTATTTTCASTAATACACATATTTGTTTTTGTGTATTTCTTTTCAATAGAGCCTCCCATGGACCATTCTGATCTGGTTGCAGAATTACTGAAAGAATTATCAAACCATAATGAGAGAGTTGAAGAAAGAAAAGCTGCCCTCTATGAGCTCATGAAGTTAACTCAAGAGGAATCTTTTGGGGTTTGGGATGAGCATTTCAAAACAATACTACTTCTGCTGCTTGAAACACTTGGAGACAAAGAGGTAAATTCAGATTAATCCAATTTAAAATGTTAACAAAGCACGACCTTGATATTCAGCATCTCTCAAATTTGTATGGGTAGGAGGGGACAAATCTCACCCGATCTTAAAAAACAGAAATCTTCTTATGGCAGTTGAAATTCGAAATAATAAAATATGGTTAAGTCTGAATGCCCCAGTGGTGAAAAGGGTGTGAGCAATACTCCCCTTCTTGAATCTTTCTTCTTGATTCCCTTATGATAGATTACAAGAAATATTTTTCAGGGGGATCCCAAATTTACCTGTGTATAGCCCTAGCAGACTTGAAATATCAAACCATCGTCTATTGGGAAAACATTTAAAAAATGAGAGGTTTCTAAAATGCAGTAATGATCATTGGAAAGCCCCTTTGAGTTCAATGTAAATATATTTTACGGCTATTACATTTCAACTGCTGAGTTTCAAAGTGATACCAATACCACTTTTTTTCTTTGAAAAACTTTTCAGTATCTTTTGAAAAATAGTAATATGTGATGTTGATGCTGAAGGGTTTTATCAGCTTACTTGGACAAAACTTTACCTGGCTCTGCAGTTTTTGAGTGGCATAGACAACTCCATTAGTTCATGCAATTTTTGAGTAGCATAGACAACTCCATTAGTTCATAATACCTGAATTATTTGTAGAAAGGAAGAGCTGGGTCAGCTACAGAAGATGGGGTTTTTTTCTAGCTGTATTTGTTACACATGGTTCATACTAAATATACAGATGGTCTAATTAATATTTTTCTATTATCAAAGATTTCTTTGGTGGTCAAACAAATGATAAAATACGTTTATTTAAAGATGCATATTCTCACTTATTACTTGATCTTTAGCATGCAATCAGAGCCTTGGCATTGAAAGTTCTAAGGGAAATTCTAAGAAATCAGCCAGCAAGATTTAAAAATTATGCAGAGCTCACAATCATGAAGACATTAGAAGCCCATAAGGATCCTCATAAGGAGGTCAGTAATTACATTTTTTCAGAATATTTCAGAATATATTTATTTCAGAATGAAAAAGCTGTGTTAGTGTTTGAGCAATCAATCAGATCTTACTAAAGAAGTCATTTGGTTTATAATCAAGTATTTGAGCAATGTTAGGTAATAAAGGTATGTAAGAGGGGAAAAAATGTAGTTTTATAAGCCCTGAGATGCCTTGCATTGCTCCAACAGATGGATGTTGGATTGATTGCTATCCAAAGAGGATATAGTGCAGTAGCCAGTTATGGCATTATAGCACATCCAGGAACAACTGGGAGGAGGGATTTTTTCTCCTCTGTGTGACATCTTAAGCCAGTAGGTTGTATCTTGGAGATCTAAAGTACATCACTAGCATGCCCGCTTGTATCTTGGAGATCTAAAGTACATCACTAGCATGCCCGCTTGAGAGAAGGGGTGGACTATAGCAAAGAAACATCAGCCCTTTCCATTTTAGCCAGCCCTTCAGTGTTAGAGAGCATAGCTTTGAATGTTGTTAGGAGAGAGAACCCAGGGAGATGCAAAAGGRAAAAGAGTTGGCTGTGTGCCTAGAATAGGGAGGGAGTTCAGAAGCAGAAGACTTCAAGTAGTTGAATTATAGCTTTAATCTTGCCCAGAAGTACTTATTTCGAGTGTGATGCTCATGCATCGGTGCGTATTAGAAGCATCGAGTGCAGTAAGCACCCAGGTATTAAGAGGCTTACATAAATATCGCTACTGTTATGCAAGAATTATGAGTTTGATGTTGGCTGAGCCTATCCTGTCCCCCTGCACCCGGTTCAAGGATGTGTCCTCTGTGAAACTTATAATCGAGCTGCAGGTTTTGAAGTATGATTGCAGTTCTTCCCATGCCAGTAGCTTCTTTGACTCTTTTGATAGTCATTCCTCCCCATCCTCTGCTTTTTTTGTTGTTGTTTTGGGTTTTTTTTTTTTTTTTTTGTATATTCTGTTTATGACAGTGTTTTTGAAATGAACATGAAAACACGTCAGTGACCAAAAACCTAATGMGCAATAATGAATGGTCACCCAAAAACTGAAGATTAGAAAACTGGAGAAATTTCAACGGATAGTTGAAGGCTGGGATCACGTGGGAAATCTCTTGGTCAGGCAGGTCTGGACAGTGCTGCTCTTGGTATTGCTCAGTACGTATTATTAGTCAGAATACTGTAAGAGCCTTGTTTATAGGAAAGTGATATGTCCACTAGCTGTACCTTATATGCAGATTTTCAAAAAGTGTCTTGAATTCCTGTATTTTTAAGTATTGTAGCTCTGTTGAGTGGAACAGTAATTTTCCAAATACCATTACTGAGAGAACACTGACCATAGAAATTCTGTCTTGTAATTGATTTTTCCATATCTTTATTCTTTGAGCAGGTGGTGAGGTCTGCCGAAGAAGCTGCCTCCATGCTGGCTACTTCCATTAGCCCTGATCAGTGCATCAAAGTCCTTTGTCCAATTATCCAGACCGCAGATTACCCCATTAATCTGGCTGCAATCAAAATGCAGACGAAAGTCATAGAGAGAGTATCTAAAGAAACCCTTGCTCAGCTTTTGCCCGAGATTGTGCCAGGGCTAATACAGGTAAAACATGGAACACAACATATGTCAGAGAGGAAAGGCCAGAGGGATTTTAATTTAAAAAATCGGAAGTTTATTACCCTATGTCCACCTTATAAAGAGCTGACACACATGGATCTGCACACAACTGATGAGGACTTCTTAGGGTTTGACAGCTAAATTCCTCACATTTTCTGTCTTAAATGGCTGCCGTCTCGTTGCATATCCATGGGAAGGCCGAGGTGGAGTAGGGGACTTGGGGACAGGTTTTTGATGGGGGCGGGGGSGGTGTACAGGAGTGAACCAACTGCAAGGCAGCAATAGAAACAAATGTGGTAAGGCAGAATTTAGGGAAAGAATCACTGCCTGTTAAGCAAATACTTCCTTCAGAACATGGAAGCTCTGAAGTTAATGTCTTCTGCTTTGTATAAATATCACTATTATCTAGAGCTGTTTCTTTTATGTTCTCCCCTACTGTGTGTCAACATACAGCATGATAGCTGCTCTGCTTTCACAGTGTAACTTATGAACAGGAACAYACTGGTTTATTTTCAATCTGAGAAGTGCTTATCAACAGGGATTCAGAAGCAGGATTCAGTTTAATTGCATGCCCTGAATTTGCTTTTTTGACGTTGGAATGCTTCATTGGGTTATCTTAGCATTCATTTGCTGTAGATTTTAATGTATTTATCATAAGGATAAGCAAATAGCTTTGAGGCTTTTAATGATTAACTGATAAGCTATTAATTTTATTGCTTTCTAGGGTTATGATAATTCGGAGAGCAGTGTTCGTAAGGCGTGTGTTTTCTGCCTTGTAGCCATTCATGCAGTAATTGGTGATGAACTAAAACCACATCTCAGTCAACTCACTGGCAGTAAAGTAAGTAAAAGATACCGCATTAAAAAAAAATGCTTGTTTCATAATTGCATGTATGGCATTTGCATTTTGATTGCAGAGCTCGTAAAAGTGTCTATTTGAATAAAAATATCAAGGCTGCTGAAACTCACAGAGGATTAATGTAACTTTAGCATAAAAGAATCAAAACTGAATATCCATATGTTTTCAGATACTGATACAAGTCAGCTCATTAAAAGAAATACTAAGTTGTATTTTTTGCTGCTGTAGTTACATGCTATCAGAGGCCAAAAACTTCAAATATATATTTAATAGTTTTCATGTTTTAAGCATGCTTGAGTTGACTGTCAGACTTGAATATGAAATAGTAGTAACTGATGTACTAAGCCTGGCTTTTGCCTTCTTTTTCTCGATGTGTTTTTCATGCAACTGTAGGTTGAACAGAAATGAATTTAATACACAGATGTTACGTACAAGGGTTTTATATGGTCTCCTTGCCTATTCCTTTGCTTTTATCATTCCTTTCAAAGATCAATTCAGGAAGCTTATAGTGTTTTCAGCATCTTTTACCTACTGCTCTTATATCCTCACATGAATGGCTGTATTTTAATTGCTAATCCATTTGTCCTTGGGAAGAGAACAGGACAATTAATTTTGTACATCTTATTTTAAGACACTTGCATCTTAAAAAGGACCTAGCAGTGACTATGTGGAAAGTGATTCTAGAATTCTAGACAGCATTCCAAGTTTTAGTGGAAAAAAAAAGTAAATCAAGAGCTCAGATGATTAGAGACTTAAAGCTTCAGCACTATCTTAAAGCAAAATTTAAAAAGCTAATATATTCAGAAGGCTTGTAATTTTGGATAATAATCCATCTATCCAAGTCCATATGCTGTATATTTATTTTAAATGTCTTTTAGTTTCTCCTTCAGAGAAGTCGTTTGATCAGTTTCCACTTGGGACAAATTTTGTCATGCTTGAGGTTTTCATTGGCAATAATGAATAAATTTTTTTTTTCTTTTTTTTTCTTTAAAAAGAGAATGGCTTAATGATCACTTTCAGTGCATCATTCCCATAGGCTACAGTAAGGGTCTTGCTGTATGGTTTGTGAATACTAATTCAGTGAATTTCTGTCTTAAATTTCCAGATGAAATTATTGAACCTTTACATTAAACGTGCACAAACAGGCTCTGGACCAGGGGATGCCACAGCAGATGTTTCTGGACAAAGCTAATGAAGCTGACAAGAGTGAACCAGGTCTCCTAAAGAAAGGGCAAGGCCCTCTTCACTGAAAGGAAAATTCTTACACACAATTTTGAAACTCCTTTTTTTGGGTTTTTTTTTTTTTTTTTTTTTTTCTTTAACCATTGGCTGTCCTCAGCCTGCATGTGACTGTTGCAATAGAGTTATTCCAAATCCAAGACAAAAGCAGTATTAACATCACTCGATCAAAACAAAATAAAATTTAAAAATAATCTAATCCATTAGTTTTCCTATTCGCAATCCTCTGTGTCTTCCCATTAACTTTTGCCAGTGTTACTGTATTAATTTTTTTTTTTAATGCTAATTAAACAGGTATGCTTTAAGCTTCAGAAGTTAAAAGTACAAACTCTGTTGCTTTCATTCAGCTGCAGATAACATTGTTTTTATTGCTATTTTGTTGGAGTATCATGTCCTTTGCTAGAAGCAAGAAGTGATGTGAAACAAGGCAGGACTAGTCTGAACTGCAGTGAGACTCAGTCACTGTGTTGGTGGTTCGTATTATTTACGGCTTGTTTGGGATATTCTGGAGATTGAGAAATATGCCTATAAAAAAAGCTGGCTCAGTCCAGTTCTGTAAAAGTGATATTGTTCATTGGTTGTATGTTTGTTGCATAAATAAGAATTTAGTGTGAACAGTAGAGGACTAGGACAGCTGGTAGCTCCTCGTGTGGAGACGGCGCTCCCGGGGAGCCCTGCGGAGCGGGCGGCACCGGGGCCCTCTGCGCGCCGGCGGCAGCGTTCATGGTCACTTGATGGATGTGAACCATCCCTGTCACCTTTCCTTCTTCAAGCAGGATGCTTCCGAATGGAGTGCTCTGCCCAAGCATGCTCAGTATGTATTTATCTTTATCACTAGAATGTTGCCTCTCAACCTAATCGCTGGAACCAGTAGTCTTGTATTGTAACTCACACGGGATTTGATGACTACAGTGCAGAAAACAACTTAATTGTTACCTTCCTAAAAGCACCGAGGTTTTCTGCATTGGATTTCAATGGGAGGGAGGGGGAATAGTCACAAATGCAATGGATCTTGCCACCTTTTAATTTAAGAAGAGTATATTTTGGATGAGTTGGGAAAGCTGCACCAAACTACTTGCGTGGTTTTCTTGAATAGCATCCTCAAGACCCATCTGGATTAAGGTGTGGAAATGTTTCCAGGGTTTGTTTTTTTCCATTTTTGAAAGAGTTAGTTTATTGTGAATAATGGTTCTTTGTATTTATGAAGTTGATAATGGAAAGAGAGAACAAAAATCAAGTAAACATGTCCCTAGATGTTGTCTTTTCTTTCTTTTTCTCTTCTTTCTTTCTTTTTTCCTTTTTTTTTTCTTTTTTTTTTTTTTTCTCTTAACTGAGATCTGGGATGAAAAAGACCCTTCCTAGGAATGGTGGAATTTTTTTTTCTTGATTTTTTTTTTTTCCTTTGATTATGATGTTGTCTAGTTATAAAAAGTATATCCTGATAGGAGAGAAGATCGCGGTACCAAGGAGGATGATCTGTGCTAGGCTAAAATTCTCTCTACCTCTTCAGGGTGACTAGTTTTTGAATGAGCTGCTGCCTATAGCACCCAGTGGAAGAACTATTGACAGAAACTCTTCTTTATTCTTTTGTTTTTCTTTCAAATTACCACTTAATATGTATTCAAAACTATTCTTTACCATGCAGCCAAGTCTCCTAAGAAACTACTTACACACTTTACTTGCTAGATACCCTGAAAAACAATACTGAACAAAGATGCAGTCAGATGCTTGTAGTTAAGCGGAAGATTGTTTTCACTTTAGTTTGAAGTGAATCTGATAGAGAAAGTTGAGATATGATYGTTAAAGAAGTAATGTCATTGCAGAGATTTATTCTATTGGAGGAAAAGTTGTAGAAATATATGTAAAGACTTAAAAACAAGACTGTCATAACCTGTCGCTAGCCCTTTTTAGCAGCTACATCAGGAAAATAGTATTTCCTCTTTCTTTCCTTTGTTATGTGTAACATTCTTGTTGTTTTCTACTGTTTAATTACATTGTGTATTTATAGTTCTATGCTTACCATTGTGCATATACTGGCAATAAAATGTACATAACATTACTTTAAAAAATTAGCAATGTATACATTCTGGTTTTATTTGATCACATGCTCTAAAAATATTATAAATGTCTGATACAACATTGSTTTAAAAAAATCTTCAGAATCTTCATGCTTTGTGTGTCTGAATGTTTCTTTAGATACTTTCATAGAGCTGTCTTGGCAGTAGAAGATAAACTTAGCACAGGTCTGCTAAATGAAAATAATTTTGGAAACCTGAGTAATACCTTTATGATGATCAGATTTATTTCATTTAGGCAGGCTTCATATGTACTTCACTTATGCATACATTATTTATACATTGTGGAGGGTATTTCTGATATTTTAAAAACTTTTTTCAATTAAAGATGTTGCAATTTACATTTAAATTATATAAAAATAGTTWAAAACACACAAATTCTAATCTTACAAGGCTTGTATATTGATCCTGCTTTTTCTACAGATAATATTTGTTTTCATGAGATCAAGATAACTTTGCTGCTTACCTGTGTTTGATGATGTTAGTTCATACAGCAAAAATAAGTGTATTGTAGCCTATTTCTTCTGGTCAAATGCATTATTTTTTTCTTACRTGTAAGCAAAATGGGGGAAAAAAAGCCATAGAACTTGGTCAGTGATGTTGTCATCCCACATAAGTTTGAAAAGCTGTGTTTGAGGTACAGGGAGGGAAGATGTTTAGAAGAAAGTAGTCYAAAAATAGTGCTTCTAAATCATCTTTAAATCTTTAAATATTGGAAGTGTAGATATCCCATGTACTAAAAAGCATAAATGTAATACATTTAGGTGAATCTTACAATTACAGTATGACTGGCTTTGTTCCTAACAGAAGTGAGGCTGTTGTGCATGGATAAAATCTGCTTCATATTAAGTCAAGCCATCAGAATGTAAGAATTTACAGCAAAATGCTTTCCACTGCAACAGGTATCAGATTCACAGCAGCGTTTCTGCCTTCCTTTCCTATATTAGCAGTAAACATTAGCTTAAATATTTTGGAATTACAATTAGTCACGCCTTATGTTTGTGCTGCAGGTGCTTTCTCTAAAGAATTAGCATAAGGACAGAGAAGAAAATCAGAGAAGTAAGTCAACAGTCCTCCTGAAAGGGTTTTTTTTTTCTTATCTTTTTAATGTGCTGTAAAGATGGTCCCCATTGCAGTGATTTGACTGCTGAAAGGTTCTGAAAAGGTCTACAGTGGRGCTTAATGAAAGAGCAAGAGGACAAGGGAAAGCAAGGTAGGGCAGGAAAGATTTAGGGGACTTGGATGTCCTTTGCTTTAAGGACAGAGTAACAGGGCATGTTCAGCACAGCTCATAGCAAGGCAGGTGGGATAGTAAGCTTAAACTGTAAGGAGAGCTGATCACCTAAACTTTCCTGAATTTGGTCACTTGTTTCTTTCTGAAGACCAAGATGGGAACCAGCTGAGCTACGTGTGAGCTGAGTGTATTATTTGACCATATTATTTGAGGTCTGAGTCCCAGAGTAAAGAGCATTTGTGTCCTGCAACAGACTTTCATATTCAGTAGCCTGTATGGATGTTTAAGCATTTGAGTATATCCCGTTAATCAGCCCATAGATGCACGATGTTTATCCTTTAATTTTTAGTAAAGGATTCTGAATACAGTATTGTTCCTTTTGAAAATGAGCCTGAAAGAGAAAATAATCTTGAGGAATAAATCCGAGTTACGCTACAGTTAATGCCTGCAATGCTCAAGGCTCGTGAGAACAGTTCAGTTTGTTGTGGTAACACTGGCTGTGTGGGTTGGAACTTGGCAAACAAAGGCATGGGGCACAATAAACATAAATAAGATGGGGGTAAATGGGCACCCAGGGACAAGGAAGATTACCAGGAGAATGAAAGCTAATGCTCTCCCCGCATTAGAACAGTAAACTGATGAGTTTTGCAATTGCAGACTTAATTCCATCTAAAATGAAAGCGAAATGAAGCATATGTTGAGGGAGGATGAAGGCATGATTGAGAAACRTGAAAAGCGTACTGCAGTAGCGAGGGGAAAAAACATAGTTGTTAGATTGGTACAGAAAATGATACTGCTCATAACTGAGATCTAGACTTCCTATCATTGGCAGCAGATTAAAAAGGTGACCAAACTTAATCCCAAGTACAGAAGTTGAATGGCTTGTCCATTCCGGTGTGTTTCCTATATTAGATCTTGCTGTTGTCCACCAGTGCGGATGTCTGCACCGCWGTGAACTCGTGCTGAAATCAGTAGTGCTTCCGCTAACATTATGTCATTCTCGGGTCAAAGGTAGGGCCTGTTTGTCTTAGCAAGATTTATACCAGGAAAATCAAAGGTAAAGACCTCAGTTAGGCAATGGGCAGACATTGGTATCGCCTCTCTGTGGCARGGCATCTGTGCAAGGTCTTGAGAGGCTGCCTGAATGGACGAACTGGCTTCTGCCCACAGGCTGCTKAGTCTGAGCACAGAGAGTTTACATTAGAACATCAGGGAAGATGAGAAAACAGTCATTTCRGCTTAAGCAGCTGAAATGCTGGCCTACGTATCATAGATGGTTATGCTTTTCTGTACGTGGAGAAATCCTGTGTTGTTTGATCCATTTTGAGCCTTCACATGACAACTGGGGGCATGTTGGAGGACTTAACCAGCTCGGTTGTTTCAGTCAGATGAAGTTACCTGTTCTCTCTAAGGAGTTTTCATGCATCACTACTTACATAGTCTGAATTTGCCCAAGGATAAATTTTAATTGAATTGTGACTGATTGTTTAGAATTTGGCARATTTTATTTAAAAAGTCTTTTATTCAAAACCTGTATCCTTTGGGCTCCTATTCCTGATTTTTCTGTTTGGAGGGAATTGAGGCTGTAAGATTTGGAAAAGTCATTGAAATTGAAAAGCATTAGTAACAYATCCAGTGCTACTTCAAAAGTGGCTTTTGAACTTTCAGTGGTCTGCACTGAAATTGTGGGGTTTTTTTTCCTCTCTATATACAGTATTTCCTGAATGGAGAGAGAGGGAAAAAAAAAGGGGGGGGGGGACCCAGGAGGTCTTAAATAATTTACATGGGATTTTCTTCTATTTCTTCATTCTGTGCCACTGCTTTTCCCCTTTTCACTGTCTACACTCTTAGAGTATTTGGCTGTTGTTTAGTATATGGCATCTATGTGCAAGATAATTTTTTTCTAGATACAAAGTATATCATCTGTGTAGTTCTGTGAAGCCTCCTTTCACAGATTGCTTTAACATTCAGTTATTAACTCTATTATCAAGAATGTAAGTTGGATGCCCCCTTAAATGTAATGGCAGTAAATAAAAACGCTGTTTTCAAGTGATGCTCTAACACAGAGGCAGGTATGTTACTGATAATTTCCGTAGCATSTCAGCCAAAATGGAGAGCAGCCCAGGTATCACTCTGCACACCCAATAAGAGGGCAAAAGAATGAAGGGAGAAGCAAATGTATGAAGTGCTTCAGAGAATTCCAGTTATGGCAAAGGTATGATTTTTTTTTTCTTTTTTCTTTTTCCAAATGATTTGGGTTCTTGGTGACACACGATAGACTAAAACTGCTATTCAGAAGAAGCAGTACCTCAACCAAAGACTTACTTTAGGGGTCAGTACAAACTTTTGCCACAGGTAAGACTTTCTTGGGGGSCAGACTACTAGAACTGCTGTAGAAGCTGTTTGTGTTTTGGTAGAATGAGGTATGAATGGAGCTTGGGGCTCTGTAAACCAGTTGCTCATGGCAAACCGTGTTTCACTGGATTCCTTGTTTCAACKAATTCAGTTTGAATTTTGATAGCTGATATTTTCTGATCAGCCTGTCAGCAAATGCCCTTTATACTAGAAGGKCCTCCAGGGTATTCATCTACTCTGTATTAACCTTTTCTTGATCAGAAATATGCTTACAGCAGAATAGCAGTTTAAAAAAGT